AGAATTACAAAACATTAAAGAAAGAAATAGAAGAGGATACCAAAAAATTGAAAAATCTTCCATGCTCATGGTTTGGAAGAATCAATATCATCAAAATGTCCATTCTCCCAAAAGCAATTTATAGATTCAATGGGATACCAATCAAAATACTGAAGACATTTTTCTCAGATCTGGAAACAATGATACTGAAATTCATATGGAGATTTTTCTTTTTTAAAGATTTATTTATTTGAAAGAGTTACAGACGGGGGGGAGGGAGAGGGAGAGAGAGACACATTTTTCCATCTGCTGATTCACTCCCCAAATGGCTGCAAAGGCCAGGGCTGGGCCAGGCTGAACTCGGGAGCCTGGAACTCCATCTAGATCTCCCACTTGAATATTCTCAGGTGCATTGGCAGGGAGCTGTATCTGAAGGGGAACAGCTAGCATTCAAACCAGTGCTCATATGGGGTGCAGTGTTGCAGGCAACAACTGAACTCACTGGGCCACAACACTGGCCCCTGAGAATGTATAGATTTAGATAGAAATTTCACTAAACATCTGTCTCTTTCACAAGAAATGGATTAAACAGAGCACAGTAAATGGCAGCTACAGATAAGTACAGAAACAAATCAGTAGAGCAGAATCATTTAAAAATGTGGACCCTGGGCATGGTGTTGTGGTCCTCTGGGTAAGTTGCCTATGGTACCAGCATCCCATATGGGTGTTGGTTTGTGTCCTGGCTGTTCTACTTCTGACACAGCTCCCTGCTGATGGCCTGAGAACAGCAGTAGAAGATGGCCCAAATGTGTGGACCCTGCCACTCATGTGGGAGACCCAGCAAAAGCTCCTGGCTCCTGGCTTCAGCTTGGGTCAGCCTTGGCTGTTATGGCTATCTGGGGGGAGTGAATCAGCAGAGGGAAGATATGCCTCTCTCTTTCTCTCCCTCTCTTTCTATAATTCTGACTTCCAAATAAATAAACAAACCTCTAAAAATAACACACAAAAGTATGGACCCTGGAGTTACAACCCCTGTTCCAAAACCAAGAGTTGAATTCCAGACAAGTTACTGGACATCTCTTAGTCTCAGTTCCATTGTCTTTCAATTAAGAAAGATGTTAGTAGCCTACACCATTAGCTCATTGTGATATTCAATTAAAAAAAACATTTAAATCTTGGCACTTAATGAATTCACAAAAAATGTTAGCTGTTAGTGTTGTTGAAATTATTTTTACAACTATTATTTCTTCATAAATGGTTATATAACATATTTGAAAACATCTGCAATTATTTTCTTTAGCTTCTATCTGAATAACCAACTCTACAAAAAGTGTATATATTCCTTTAGTGGCATGGTAAATTATCTTGAATATTATAGGAACAAAATAATAAAAAATAAATTAAATATTTAGCATAGAATCATTCATCCTTCTCCAGGTATCCCGAGTTACACAACCACAAACCTCTGTGATGTCCCTGTTTCTTTCTCATGAGCTTCATTCTGAAATGTCATTTGGCTGAGTTTATTAATTGATTTCAACAAATATTTGGATTCTTATCTCTCCTGAGGTTAAACAGCCTGGTTAATGTTTTTCCATAAAAGATTGAGGGTATTACAAGTGGGACGCTTTGCTCCACACACCCTGGCCAATGAATGAGTCCCTGGCTGCACAACAGGATCTAAACTGTTTTAAGAAGTAGGTTCTGCCCTCAGTCTCACCTACGGCCAAATCCCAGCTCCAGAGTAGGGGTCTACATCCCCCTAGCTTGCCCTACCCCTCTAGAATAGGACCAGAGGCATTCACTGGGTCAGCTTGGGTTTTGCCCTGACATTCACAGGACAGAGGCTAAAGAGTTAAAGCATGCTGATGGGAAAGCTAAGAAACCGCAAGTCCTGGGGGTGGGGGGGGTCTTGATTTCTCCCATGAGAATGCATACATATTGATGAGCTGTGTGGTTTGAGTGTGTCCCCTGACACTCCATGTGCCGGTAGGTCATGGGGTATCACCCCGGGAAAGGAACACCATAGGTCTTGTGATACTGGAACATCTCCTGTAGGAATCAGTGGTTATAAAGTGAGTTCTGTGTTTTCCACTCTCCCTCACTTGCTTCCTACCTCACCAAGTGGCCTTTATACACACATGCCTGTCAACTGTAACACCATTCACTGTCAGGCCCTCATCAGAGCCAACAGGTGCAGGCGCCATGCTCTTGAATCTCCAGCACTGTGAGCTAACCAAACCTCTTTTATTTTTAAAATATTTATTTGTTTATTTGAAAGAGATACAGAGAGGTAGAGGCAGAGAGAGAGAGACAGACAGACAGAGGTCTTCCATCTGCTGGTTCACTCCCCAAATGGCCACAATGCCAGGGGCTGGGCCGATCTTAAGCCAGGAGCCAGGAGCTCTTTCCAGGTCTGCCATGTGGGTGCAGGAGCCCAAGCATTTGGGCCATCTTCTACTGCTTTCTCAGGCCATAGCAGAGAGCTGAATCAAAAGTGGAGCAGCCAGGACTCGAACTAGCACCCTTATGGGATGCCGCCACTGCAGGCTGCAGTGTTACCTGCTATGTCATGGGGCCAGCCCCACCTCTTTAATTTATAAAGTACCAGCCTTGGGTATTTTAGTATAGAGACACAAAACAGACTGAGACAGCAGGTGTAACAGCACTCCTTTGTTTCCCAGGATCGGAAGTCTGGGCGTAGCAAGGCTTAGCTGGTTTCTCGGCAGAGATCAATGCACTGGGGGATTCAGTGTCTGATGAGGGCCTATATTCTGATTCATAGATGTTGCCTTTCACCGTCTTCTCATGGTTGAAGGGGTGAGCTTGCTGTCTGAGACCTCTCTTATCAGGGGGCTGATCTCATCTCATGATCTAATCATCTCAAAGACACCACATTTCAATACCGTAACACCGGTGGGTGGATTCTAACACAGGAATTTTAAAGGAGCATGAACATTTGAGCCGTGGCAGTTACCTTAGCAGTGACTTCAAGAGACAGGGATTTGAAGTTCAGAAGAGGCTATCCTGTGTCTCAATGCTATATAAAACCTCAAGATGTTTTCACAATTCTAGGTTATGTATTCAGTGATTCTCCTTCCTTCACTAAGTTTTGGGACTTAGAGATGAAATTTAGTTGGAAAAAATAACCTAAGAAAATGTCATTTTAGCAGCCTGAATGTCGTGTCTGACACTCGAATGTTAACTTAGCTGTCTTCTCTGTGGCCTTGGCAATGACTGCAACCCACGTCAAAACACACGTTCATAGCAAGGCTTTCCTCCTAACAAGTGATGTTGTCTACAAGCAGAATTGTAGGACTTATCCATGAGAAGGAGATGAACTATCTCCCCACTGCCTTATATACAAGATCTTGTCCAACCCGTATTTGAACAAGAAAACCTGACTACCTTCAGTTACATGTGACTTTGCTACAGAGTAAAAACATCTCCCCCTTGTTAAGGGGTAAGTTTGGTTTTGGTTTTAATCTCAATGGCAAGTTATACTTGCTTACAAAAATCGTCTGGATATGTACTCATTGGCTTGGTTCACCTGCATGCTGTAGGTTGCTCCTTAAGCTGTTACAACCCAGAGGTGGGCTGGGCAATTGTATTCTTCTCTTTGAAAACCACTGTGTTTCTTGTGTCCTGTGGGCAAGTGGTGGTTTTTAGGACAAGATCCAGGGATCGTTCATGGTTGAATTACAGCTCACTTGCTTTGCTGTGTTCATTACTGAGTCCATGATGGCCCCAACTCAGGATTTGCTTACCGGATCTTCTTGTAAAACCTCTTCCTCTACATGTGATGTAGAGACTGAATGAGAAGCTTGACCTAGACCTTGGGAAGTGGATAGATTCATCAAAGATCAGGGACTCAAGAATGCCAGGCAGGAAGAACAAAATAAAGGCAACGGAAAAGCCCATGGAGTGTTTGCAAACAGTTTCCCTGGTATGAACTGCAACATACATGCAGGTATGGTCCTTATGTGATCGTGGTGAGCATTCAAAGACGTGGTTGTGTGTTAGAATAGTGACTAGCAGGCCGGTGTTGTGGTGTGGTAGGTAAGATGCTATTCAGCTGCTCTTCTGATCCAGCTTCCTGCTGATGTGCCTGGGAAGGCAGTGGACGATGACCCGAGTACATGGGCCTTCGCCACCCAAGCAGGAGACTAAGATGGTGCTCCTGGCTCCTAGCTTTGGTCTTGCCCTTCTCTGGCTGTTGCAGACATTTCGGAAGTCAATGAGCAGATGGACGATCTCTTTCTCTCTGTATTTCTCCCTCTTGTACTGTCACTCTGCCTTTCAAATCAGTTGATCCATCCTAGTTAGCACAAACTGCTTTATGTTTATTAGCTCATTTTAATGTGTAGCGTTTACTGTTGCTTTTCCTTTCCACATTTTTTTCTCCTTGGAAATAGCCCTCTATCCTACACGTTTGCTTTACAATAAACATCATGATCAGAAAGTGGTTTGTGATAACTCCTAATCTGAGGTAAGCTATGTGGAGTAAGTTTTCACATAAGAAAGAAGTCAGAGGGGCCTTAATGGGTAAAGCTGCTGCCTGCAGTGCTGGCATCCCATGTGGGCACCGGTTCAAGTCCCAGCTGCTCCACTTCCGATACAGCTCTCTGCTATGGCCTGGGAAAGTAGTAGAAGATGGCTTAAATCCTTGAGCCCCTGCACCGATAGGAAAGACCTTGATTGGATCCGCACAACTCTGGCCGTTGCGGCCATCTGGGGAGTGAACCAGCGGATGAAAGACTCCCCCCGCCCCCCTGCCTCTCTGCCTCTCTGTAACTCTGCCTTTCAAATAAATCAATCAGTATTAAAAAGGAAGTCAGCGCAGGAGGTGGGATGGCCTTTGTACTTGAGCCTTACCTATATTGACAGCTATTCCAGGAAAAGACATGCTGGAAGAGAATCCTGGAAAAACCTATGATGTAGCTACAGTCCTACCCAGCCTGAAATCAAGAGCCAGCTAGAGGGGGTGCTTGAGGCTAAACATTAATCTGTTGTCAGCAGGTTGAACCACATGTTAATATTTGGAGAGACAACTGTACCATTTCGTTAGGGGCCTAATAGAGCCAACAGTGACAGGGGTCCTACCCTTGGGCTTCACAACTAGGCATTTCATAAGGAAATCTGAGAGCTCACCTACAAGGAGGAGAAACACTTGTCCTGGGAATGGCTGGTAAGAGACTGACAGATTTTGGGAGCAGATGGATGGTCTCTTGGTTCATATATTTGCAAGAGGGATAGGGTATCATTTCATTGATTTAGGCACTAAGATCCTGGTGCCACAGATGTTAGTTTTCTGTCATTGTGTCCCCTGGGGTTACTGCTCGGGGGTGGGGGTGGGGGAATGGAATAAGCAGAGGAAAAATGCTACCTGGGTCAAGACTGCCTCTTGTGGGCTGCTCGACTGTTAAGGCTTGACCTGAAAAGCAAACAAAGGCCAAGGCAGAGGGAGAGTTTGCAGAAATGAGATGACAGGGATGCCTGGGAACAATTAATTGACTAATTTAAAATACTTTTATGGTTACTTACAGTTAGAATCCTCTCTCGGGCTCTAACCAGCAAGCCAGTTGGAAATAAATAATTCCACTTATTTGAATCCCAAAGTTCTAATCTGTTCAGTGGAACACAGCTTTATCCAGTACGGGTGTACTGAGTATTTAGTGTTTCTTGCACAATGTTTTTGCTTAGTTAGTAAGCACTCAGTGTTTAGAGGGCCTTAGGAAGAACAAACCGTTTACTCATTCAAGAAACTTATCAAAGGCTTACTATGTGCTTTTTTTTTTTTTTTTGACACAAAGATGGATGAAAAAGAAAGCTGTCAGTGCAGGGGCAGAAATGTATTTAGCTGAGTGATTCTTGCTGTATAAAAAGTGGAGATGCAAGTGGGTTTACTGCCTGCTACTGCTGTAGTTCAGAGTTCAACTTCCTGAATTTGCTTGGAGGGCAGGGCCGAAAGTTCAGTTTGTCTCATTTCTACCAATGCAGCCTTCCTATCAAAATAGAAGCAAGTGAGCAACCTGACTTCCTTGTTGATTTCTTAATAAGGTGTCTGGTTATTGGTCAACGGCATCCTGGTGGCAACTGCTGTGTTTGAGAAAGGACTCTGTGCTGGACCTCCAGGAATCCAAGGACCCCCTGGGCCAAGAGGACCCGTTGGTCCAGTGGGACCTCCTGGTTTCCCAGGTGAGGAATGTGTCTCTTCTGCCTGTTATTTGCTCCTGTATTTTCCATGGGGAAGCCCTGGTCCTCACCCAGGAGCATCAGGTATTATGGATAGAAAAAGTCTGGAGGCAATGACCATGTAGAATTGGATCCCACAGCAGGGGGACAGAAGCCTAAATCTCAGGGCTTAAGGGAAACCCTCCTGGTTCTAGATTAGACCAGGGAACTGTGGTCCACATGAGTGGCCTGGTGGGAGAAGGTGCTACTTAGAGTCAGTGTCTGCAGGTAGGCTCTCCAGTAAACAGCAAGAAAGGAGAATAAGGTAAGTTCACCATCAACAGAGAACAAGATTTCACTGGGGTTGGGGCTCAAACCACACTTAGAGTGGAAAGAGTGCACACCTATGTGGGGCATCAAGGTCCTTTGTAGGTCCTTTGCTGGTCACCCAGGACCAAGAAGGGACTCCCAGGGAAGCTCACAACTCCCTGTTGTCTCCCAAGGGGCAATTGGCATTGGGTGGTATCTGTGAAGGTTGGATCTGGCAATGCAAAGGTTTTCCAACCGCCAAAACTAGACATCCAGACTCTGATTTATCAAACTTGGCAAGACTATGGTCTTTAGTAAGAATGAGTCCCATCTGGCTGGAATATAGGCTCAATATCATTAAAACAGTGTCAGGAAATCACCTTGCTCTGCCTTTACTGCTACACTTTCCCTAAAGGACATCAGGATGCACAGGGTCCTATCAAACAAGAGTAATACTGGGTCACATTAGTCATGTTTTAATGTTTGATAGTCACTTTGCTAAGTGTTCCGAGTGCATTGCGTCATCACATCACAATAATCATGTGAGAAGTCCCTGATCTTTACGTGTGGAACACAGTGCTAGCAAGGTTAACTGACGTTAGCAAGACCACATAGCCAGTCAATTTCAGGTTTGCAACCACTTGAATCACACACCAAATGTCCATCTCTTAGCCATGATATCTAAACAAAAATTCGGGAAGTTTCCCAGAGCAACTGAAATATCGCCTTCTTGATCTCCCCGCTGACACTTCTCCAATTTCCAATGGCCGCCAGGTGCACCAGGAATGAGGGGACCTCGAGGACTGACTACAAAATGCCCATGTGACACAAAGTCTGCCTTCACCGTGAAGCTCAGTGGCAAGCTGCCTTCGCCTGCTGAGCCTGTCACCTACACAGAGGTGCTGTACAATGGCCAGGGGGACTTAAAGGAGGAGACTGGGGTCTTCACCTGCAGACTCCCAGGAAATTACCATTTCCAGTTTGACGTGGAGCTTCAACACTGCAATGTGACTGTCTGGCTGAAGAAGAACCACACTGCAGTCTTGGAAAAGCATCAGGTCGCTACCAAGGAGTACAGGAACCTCGCTGGCACCTTGATCCTGCCACTAGGCATAGGTGAGAAGGTGTGGCTAGAAGCACAAGTGGAACCTGAGGATCCTGACCAAGCAAGAGCTACAGTCTACTTCTCTGCTTTCCTGACATAGTTTTGTCTCCATATAAGACAAATGTGCCTCTTATGATTCTGCTGCTTACACAGATAGGAAAACAAACAAGTAAATAGCTGCTGTATACCGTATCTTGACCTCTTAAGCCTACTCGCCTTAGGATTTTGAGATCTCAGAATTTTGGTAAATAAATCATATGTTTCCATGAACAAACAAGCAGGTGTAGTCCAGGTGGAATTGTGTCTTAGAATTTTATTTTAAGGAGTTAAAGGGCAGGTGTTTTGGGCAGTAGTTAAACTGATGCCTGGGACACCCACATCCTACATCAGAGTACCTGGGTTCAAGTCCTGGATCTGCCTCTGATTTCAGCGTCTTCATAATGCACCCTCGAGAGGCAGCTGGTGATGGCTCAGATACTTGGGTCCCTGCCACCAACATGGGAGACCCAGATTGAGCTCTGTGATTCTGGCTGAACTGGTGGATGGAAGATCTCGAATTATCATTCCGTCTCTGCTTCTCAATCTGTGTCTTTCAAATAATATGAAAATAAATATTTTAAAAAATAAATCAAGGAATTATTAACTTAAAAATCACTCTTCTCATAGTTACCAAGGTCATTCTTTCTCCTTGTTCTCAAACCTCAATTATTGGCTTCACCACATTTGCAAATTAAATAAGACAATTAAATTTAAAAGGGCAAATATAGGCCAGCTTGTTGTTGTAGCTGGGTTAAGCTATAATCTGCAATGGCAACATCCCATAATGATCACCAGTTCAAGTCTCAGCTGCTCTGCTTCCAATATAGCTCCCTCTTATGCCCCTGGGAAAGCAGGGGAAGATGGTCTAAGTGCTTGGGCCTCTGCATCCACATGGGAGACCTGGATGGAGTTCTAGGCTTCCAGCTTCTGCCTGGCCCAGCCCTGGTCTCTGCTGCTATTTGGAGGGCGAATCATTGAATGAAAGATCTCTCTTTCTCTCTCTTTCTTGTCTCTCTGTAACTTTACCTTTCAAGAAAATAAATGAATATTTAAAATAAAAGGAAAAGGAAAAATAAAAACATTTTATAAAATATTAAAACTTGTCAATGATAAAAAACATTTTTAAATTTATTTGCATGCATTTCATAAATACAACATTAGGAACATAGTGATTTTTCCCACTGTACCTGCCCTCCCACCGACTCTCCCACCCTGCTTCCTCTTCCCTCTCCTGTTCCCTGTCTTGTTTTTTTTTTACGAAGATCTATTTTCATTTAACTTTATATACAGAGGATTAACTCTATTTTAGGTAAAGAGTTTAGCGCTTTGTATGAGAGAGAAAAAGAAAAGGAAGAAAAAGGAGGAAAAAAAGACCCTGTTTCTCAACAGTCCAGACAAAGGCTGTTCAATGTTATTGCACCTCGAAAGTAATTTTGTTTTTTTCCTTCCCTTCTCCCTCTTCTTCACTCCTTCTCCCCTCTTTCCTTTTAGAAACTTAATTATCTTTAAAGAAGAACCAAGAAAGATCCATCTTTTGTGGGCTCTTAGACATAACTATAATTTACAAAACATAATATCCTCTGCTTAATACACTAAAAGTAAATGATTCTTTGGGAACAAGTTTTACTAGTAAGTCTCAAAATACAACTCTTTGGGGGACAGAGGTCCTGCATGAGACGAGAGTGCACAGTGATTCTTGTTGTTAGTTTAACAATTAACACTCTTATGTATAATGTCAGTGATCACCTGAGGCTCTTGACATGAGCTGCCTAGGCTATGGAAGCCTTTTGGATCCACTAACTCGACAAGGCCATAAGCAAAGCAGAAGTTTTTACCTCCCTTCAGAGAAAACCACTTCCTTCTTTGGTGACTGCTTCTTTCAACTGGGGTCTCATCCACAGAGATCCTTCATGTAGAACATTTTTTTTGCCACATGCCCTAGATTTCTATGCCTGAAGTGCTCCCCTGGGCTTTTCAGCCAGACCATAATACTTAAGGGGCTCATGCTGAGGTCAGAGTGCTACTTAAGGCAATTGTCATTCTATGAGTCTGCTGTATGGACTGCTTGTTGGAGCATTCACTCCTTCTTAGTTCTATTATTGTTACCAAACACATTGCTATTCATGTGATCACTTTAACACTTGATCCTATCTATATAGTCACTTTACCACTTAATTCTATCCATGTGATCCCTTTAACACTTGAAATGCTATTTTTACCTCCCAGCTTAAGGGAATTTGGGGTCCCATGGTAAGTTTTTAAACTGTACCCTTAGAAGTAAGTCCATAGAAATGTGTGAAGAACTATACTGCTTTATAGTTATAGACTTCATGAATTTCACAATTACAAATTTAGGATGGTGACAATTCTTCCTACCGTGCCTGCCCTCCCATTCATACTCCTAACCCCCCCCCCATTCTCTTCCCTTTCTTATCCTCACTCTTCTTTTTTGCTAAGATCTACTCAATTAACTCTATACACATGTGGTTAACTCTATGTTAAGTATGGAGTTCTAGGATTCGTATGAAATAATAATAAGTAAAATAAGATAAAGGAAAAGAAAACAAAACAAAACAAAAAAGCCCACTGTTCCTCAACAGTCAAGAGAAAGGATGTTTAAAGTCATTGCTTCTCAGTGTCAATTTCACTTCTACAGGTTGCCTTAAAAAACTCTTATAAAAAACAGCAGGAAATTTTCCTAGCCTGATAGAATTATTCCCCTCCCCCAAATTACCTGCAGAGTATATCACTCAGAAAACCTAAAATTTCATGTTGAAAACAAGGCTAGTGTGCCTGCTATCAATCCTAATCAGCCCTGTACTGGAGGGCCTTGCCCATGTTATATGCAGGGAAAACATTAGACCATAAAATTCGAAAGGAACAATAAAAAGCTTTTTATATCAGTGTGTGAATTCAAGCCAAAAAACTCATTTATAAATTATTGAATTAATGATAACTAATATCTTGTATATAAATTCAACCTAAGAAATCCAATTATATTTTATGTGTCAGAATCAATTAGAATATAAAACAAAACAGTATCACATAAACAGTTTAGGAAATATCCAATATATTTGGAGGTAAACCCAATGAGATTGCAAGGCCTATTATGAAGGAAAATATGAAATTGTACGAGAGATTTTTAAGAAAATAAATGAAGAACAACTGTATTCAGGGATGGAAAACTCAATATTTTCTCCAAATTGACTTATAGAATCAATGTATTTCCAAAGAAAAAAGACGATGAGTGTGAGTTTGTAAGCATGTACTGTGCTTAGAGTTTGGCCTTAAGTAACATATTCAACAGAAAAATAGGAATGTTTACCACAGTCAAGGAACATAACCAACTCAGGTGGATGGTGACATCAGCAAGGTGATGGAATAAAATCTTCCCTATTTATATTCCCTCAGAAGCAGTATTTTTGTTGCCATCCATGGAAAAAGTTGCTTTGTGGGAGCCTTGGGATTCAAGTTGGGAATTCTGGAGCCCAGGAGTTAAGCAGTCACTTAGAAAGGGCAGACCCCCCGCCCCCCAGGCCGGCGCCGCGGCTCACTAGGCTAATCCTCCACCTTGCAGCGCCGGCACACCGGGTTCTAGTCCCAGTCGGGGCGCCGGATTCTGTCCCGGTGGCCCCTCTTCCAGGCCAGCTCTCTGCTGTGGCCAGGGAGTGCAGTGGAGGATGGCCCAAGTGCTTGGGCCCTGCACCCCATGGGAAACCAGGAGAAGCACCTGGCTCCTGGCATCGGATCAGCGCGGTGTGCCAGCCGCAGTGGCCATTGGAGGGTGAACCAATGGCAAAAGGAAGATCTTTCTCTCTGTCTCTCTATCTCACTGTCCACTCAGCCTGTAAAATAAATAAATAAAAAAGAAAGGGCAGACCCACACTCAGGTGGAAGATTGCTGACCATGATCTTGGAGAACCAGTTCCAGAAATGGCCACATCGTAGCTTGGCTACTGTCCTCTCGGCCATAATTGACTCCCAAAGCCATTCTTCAGCAGGGCTGGGAGGAGTCACACACCTTAGTGCCTTGGGAGACAGAGCTACCGACCTTCTCAGCTGTGCACCTGCAACAACGTTCTGGCTTGTTCAAGCCCCTTCTGGCTGCAAACGCAGAGCAGCTGTCCTGAGCTGGGGGCCTTCTGGGAGTCACACTCATAGGTGTCCCTGGGGCAGGTTTGGCTTTCAGCCCCAGCTGAGGGCAGAAAGCAGTTCTACATGCCCAGGAACTGGAGGGATACATGTTTGTCTGTGTTTCCTTCTCCAGGCGACTCAGTTTCCACAGAAGATCCTGAAGTAGCTCTGAGAAATGACGCCAGACCGTTAGCGGTAGTGTAAAACCAGTCCAGGCACACAGGGACCTGAGTGAGACAAGTCCCTGGGTTCCCCTTCAGCCTTGCCTGCTGAATTTGGTCCCACTGTGAATCTTGAAACAGCTCTGTAATTCACTGCTCAACTTTGATCTAAGAGCAGGCCTACCTGCCCAGTGGCCCACAGGGAGATCTAGCCAACTGTGACCTTATAAACAATCCTAAAGACTTAGGTCTTGGGCGTAGACCCTAAGACAGCCCTCAGACTCACTGATGGCCTCAGTGGATAAGAGCAGCACTGCCTGCCCAGAGACCTACCCAGTAATCTAGCAGGAGCCCTCCCATGACCTGGAGGGAACCTCACACTTCTGCATACCTGGTAACAGGCCTGCTTTGACAGATCCTGAAATGGGCCCTTATCCCAGTGCTATTCCTATGGGCCAAGGTCCTGGGGATGCTCCTGTCCACTCTGGGACCAGGCCGCATTCATGCTACCTGGAGTTCCAAATAATAGACATGCTGATGACAAACCCATAGCATAGCCAGCAAAAGTCATGTGACCCAGCTTTAACCCCATTGACCAAGATCTGGGAGACAACTCCATCAGTCCTGGAACCCAACAGAAGGTCTTAACCCTTCTTAAAGTCTGAAAGAAGTGATTGTTTATTCAAATTCACGGACAGCAATACAAAGCTGCATAGATAGTGAAGAGTCAGGCAAACAAGGCAGCATCACAGGAAACTAATAAAACTTTAGCAAGTGACTCCAAAGGAATGGGGAAAAGGAATGAATTCAAAATATTCAGTTTTAAAATATTTATTTGTTTACTTGAAAGGCAGAGTGATAGAGGGAGAGTTGGGGGGAGAGAGAGATCATCCATCTGTTGGTTCACTCCCTAAATGGCTGCAATAACTGGGCTGGGCCAGGAGAAAGCCAGGAGCTGCTTCTGGGTCTCTCACACGGATACAGGGGCCCAAGGGCCTGGACTATCATTTTCTGTTTTCCCAGGCACGTTAGCAGGGAGCTAGATCAGAAGTGGAGCAGCTGGGACCTGAACTAGCACTCATAAGGGATGCCAGTGCTGCAGGCCATAGCGTTAAGCTGTTGTGCCCCAGCAACGGCCCCAAAATAATCATCTTAAATGAGCTTAATGAAATGACAGAAAACACAGACACGTAAATGAAACTCAGAAAACAATGCATGAACAAAAGACGTTTAATAAACATAAGTCATAAAGATTCAAGCAGAAATCCAGAGTTCATGAATAGATTGACAGAACTGAAGAATTTGCTAGAGAGCTTTAACAGAAGACTCAATCATGCAGAAGAAGAATTTTAAAAACTCAGAGGTCATTTGAATTTAGCCATTTGGAGGAACAGAAATAAAGCATAAGAGACTAATTGGACATCACCAAGCATATGAATATGTGGGTTATACAAATTCCAGAAGAAGAGAAAGAGAAAGGGGAAGAAAATTTATTAATGAAATTCTTCTACAAAGTTTCCCAAGTCTCAAGAGGAAAATGAACATCCAAATTAATGAAGTTCAAAGGACTCAAGAACTATCAACCAAAGAATACTCCAAAATACATTATAATTGTAATATTTAATGCCAGAGATAATCTTGGAAGCACCAAGAGATATCACTTACAAGGTAGTCACCATATGGCTAGCAGCAGACAACAGAAACATCACATGCCAGGAGGGAGTAGGATAATGTATTCAAAATATTAAGATATTTTTAAAAGACTGATAAAGTATACTTTACCTGGAAAAGCTGTTCAGCTGAATACAGTATGTAGAGGTGTAAAAAAATAAAAAAAAATAACTATATAACATATGTTTCATCAATCCCACTACTAGATATACATCCAAAATAAATGAAATTAGTGTGTCAAAAAGATATCTGCACTCCCATGTTCATTGCAACATTATTCTCAATAGCCAAGATATAGAAGAAGCCTAAGTATCTATTGGTGGGTGGCAGGCTAAAGATATTGAATACTATTCAGCATTTTAAAAGAAGGAAATTTTGTCATTTGTGAAACATGGATAAGACTGGAAGACATTATATCAAGTGAATTAAGCTAAGCACAGAAAGACAAATACCACATGATCTACTCATATAGAATAGAAAAATGTTGAATTCATAGAAACAGAGAGTGTAATGGTGGTTACCAGGGGTTGAGGGGCAGACCAGAGAAATGGGAGAAGTTGGTTAAGGTTCCAACATTTCAAATAGACAGGATGGATAAGTTCAGGGCTTCCATGGTAAGACATGATGATTACAGTTAATAACAATTTATTATATACTTGAAAACCGATAGAGTAGATTTTAACTGTTCTCACCACAAAAAGGAACAAATGCATGAGATAATAAATATGTTAATTTATCCATATAGATAGGCTGCTGTAGCCATTCTACAAGGTATCAAACATCAGGTTGTACAGCATAAATACACACAGGTTTTTGTCAATTAAAAAATAAAACTATAAAAAGAAAACGCTTAGAAGCATTTTAGAGTGAAATAGAAAAAAAATAGTCCTGACCCAATAGTAAAATTCAATCAGTGTTGCCTACGTGGATTGTAAATAATAGAAGTGAGAGTAATGTTTATAGAAGGCACTTACCATCAGGCCCCACTTTTATAAATTTCATCAACATGCAAACCTAAGTGACATTTTAAGATGACTCATGTGTAGGTGCAGAAATTAAAATGAAGACGGAAATAAGTTCCACAAAAGGACCTTTTGTTCTTGAAGGAGGTGCTATGGTCTACTCAGTATGCTATTTTAGTCATTATTTATATCGCTCACTCACTGCATTGTCCTTTTTTGGTCACAATTTAAAAAGAATTTCACATGCAACAATGCTGATTTCACTCTCACGTTAGGAGCACTGGTCAAATCATGCCCTTTATGTTGCTTAGCAACCCCATGCCATATTCCTGCATTCACATTTAGTCTTTTACACTCTCGTCCTGTCTCCCTAGTCTCTAGCATCAACACTCCACTTGTTAACATTTTCTGTTTTGCCAAGGAAAAAAAAAAGAAGCAATTAGAAGTGAGTTTTTTTTGTGTTTTTTTTTGTTTGTTTGTTTGTTTTTTTTTTTAACAGGCAGAGTTAGACAGTGAGAGAGAGAGAGAGACAGAGAGAAAGGTCTTCCTTCCATTGGTTCACCCCTCAAATGGCCGCTACGGCCGACGCTGCGCCAATCCGAAGCCAGGAGCCAGGTGCTTCCTCCTGGTCTCCCATGCGGGTGCAGGGCCCAAGCACTTGGGCCATCCTCCACGGCACTCCCGGGCCACAGCAGAGAGCTGGCCTGGAAGAGGAGCAACTGGGACAGAATCCAGCACCCCAACTGGGACTAGAACCCGGGGTGCCGGCGCCGCAGGCAGAGGATTAGCCTAGTGAGCCACGGCGCCAGCCAGAAGTGAGTTTTCAAAGCCCCTCCACCCCACTTCCCTGCAGGTCAGCATCTGTGCCCTCTTTCTTGTTCCTCAGTTTGCCTGTCCCTGCAGGAACGCCTCTTGTGTATCTTGGTCCTGTTTCCCTAAACCACTCTTGGACATATTTTAGTAAGCTTTCCTTCACTCATCTGCTTTATATTGTTTTCTATGAGTTATTCCTGTTGTATAGAACTACATTGCTGTCACATCTTCAAAGAAAACGTGTCCTCATGATACCAAACAGACACTGGGGGATTTATTCTTCTCTACCTGAATTCTTCTTAAAGTCCTGAACTGTCTCCCTTCGAAATGCATAAATTGACATCCTAGACTTCAGTATCTCAAAATGTGACTGTATTTGGAGACAGAGACCTTAAAGACATAATTAAAGTCATCAGGATGTCTCATCCAGTCTGGTGTCCTTACAGGAAGAGGAAACTTGAAAACAGGTGCAGAGGAAAAGCCATCTGTAAGCCAAGAGAGGACTCAGAGGAAACAGACACTGAAAACACTTCCATCCTGGACTTCCAGCCTCCACAACTGTGAAAAAATTACTTTTCTGTTGCCAAGCCACTCAGTCTATGGTACTTTTTAATGTCGGTGCTAGCAAATGACTATACTCGTCTATACTTGTTGTCTCTTATTTTCTCTTAAGTCTACTTCATTTGAACTTTTCCTGTCATTCCAACGAAAGATCTGGTCTCAGTCTCACTGGTGGGCAGGTGCACATGTTCTTGATGGCAGAGGACCTGACTCATCTGATCATTGACCAATGGCCTTTTCCTTGCTTGGATTTTGGATCCAGCCTGACTATTCGCTATCCTCAGTGAATCTCGTATTTAAATATTTGAAATGTTGATACGCTCTATTTTTTTAGGTTTCCTTTACTTCTCTGCATTAATTTATTCCACACATGCTCTCTTACCCTTCAAATAACTTCTAGATGCTGACAGTCCCCAGTGGGCTATCTCTGGGCCAAATCTCTAGACATCAGATTCTACGGTTCTGAGTTGTCAAACTCTGCCACATTATCTACAAATTCTGTCCAAGCCACTAGCATTTACAAGAAGCAATCATTATACCTAGTGAAATAAGCCAGTCCCCCAAAGCCAAATTTCATATATTTTCCCTGATCCGTGCTAATGAGTACTAAAAAATATAATATATATGAGCAAAATTGACATCTTGAGATTTGACTATTGTTTCCAGCCCTTGTCTCTACTGTTGAGGAACAGTGTTTTTTATTTCTTACTATTTGTTGAATACTTAGTGGAGGGTTACGCTTATGAGTATAAAATAAACTGCAAGTATGACACTGTAAAAATTAAAGAATAAGAAAGGAAGGAGGCAGTAAGGTGAGAGCATAGGTGGGGTGGAGGGTAGGGTGGGAAGTACCATTAGTATCAGCATATATGAAATACATGAAATTGATTCACCTTATATAAATAATATAAAAAGTAAAAATTAAAAAAAGAAGCAACCAAAAACACGATGGGGATCTGGCAGGTCCTGAGTTTATCAACTGTAGCTCACTGGATCTCCTTTCCCACACTGAGCTGTGGTTAGATCTCAGAGGGTGGTTCCACCTGCTAACTGTGTGAGTGGGACAAGTTAAGACAGGAGAGATGCTTACTTTTGAGAGGGTCTCAGGTTTTGCACTTCGAGAGTCACCGTGTCCTGGCCATATGTTTACATGACCAACTTCCATGCTTCACCAATCACACATTCACTTAGGATAAACCATCAGCAGGCTGGAACTCTGTTTCCAGTATGCTCAAGGTTCCTAGTGAAAAAGAGCAACTCTGGAGCTTTTTCATCCTCTAGCTGGTACATTCCCACCAGTGTATCTAGCTGGTTGGTGTTACAGATTTCTTTGAGCATACATGTGGTGCACAGCTGTACACCATAAATACACACCATTTTTTGTCAATTAAAAAATAAAACTATAAAAAGAAAACACTTAAATGCATTTTAGAGTGAAATCTTTTCATGTTATGTCTTTACTTGATTTTTTGGTATCAAAGTAATGCTGGCCTCAAAAAAAGAGTTTGGCAGAGTTCTGTCCTGTTCCATATTTGGAATAGTTTCAAGGTATGGAGCTACTTCCTCGTTGAATGCTTTGTAGAATTCAACAGTAAAATGGTCAGGTCTTGGATTTTCCTTGATGGAAGGATTGATTGCTGCTTCTTTCTCAGTACTTATTATGGATCTGTTTAGATTGCCTATATCTTACTGATTTAATCATTGTAGGTTATATGTATACAGGAATTTATTGATTTCTTTGAGGTTTTCCAATTTATTTATTTATTTATTTTTTAACTTTTATTTAAGGAATATAAATTTCCAAATACAGAACATGGATTACAATGGCTTCCTCCCCATAACGTCCCTCCTACCCGCAACCCTCCCCTTATCCACTCCCTCTCCCCTTCCATTCACATCAAGATTCATTTTCAATTCTCTTTATATACAGAAGATCAGTTTAGCATACATTAAGTAAAGATTTCAACAGTTTGCACCCACATAGAAACACAAAGTGAAAAATACTGTTTGAGTACTAGTTATAGCATTAAATCTCAATGTACAGCACACTAAGGACAAAGATCCTACATGAGGAGTAAGTGCACAGTGACTCCTGTTGTTGACTTAACAAATTGACACTCTTTTTTTTTTTAAATTTTTTTTAACTTTTAGCTTTTATATAGTAGCGCATTATAATACATTTATTTCATTGGTGTTTATTGTTTTTTTTTAACTTTTATTTAGTAAATATAAATTTCCAAAGTATAGTTTATGGATTGCAATGGCTCCCCCCCCAATAACTTCCCTCCCACTTGCACCCCTCCCATCTCCCGCTCCCTCTCCCATTCCATTCACATCAAGATTCATTTTCAATTATCTTTATATACAGAAGATCGATTTAGTATATATTAAGTAAAGATTTCATCAGTTTGCACTCACACAGAACATAAAGTGTAAAATACTGTTTCAGTACTAGTTATACCATTACTTCACATTGGACAACACATTAAGGACAGATCCCACATGAGAAGTAAGTACACAGTGACTCCTGTTGTTGACTTAACAATTTGACATTCTTGTTTATGGCGTCAGTAATCTCCCTAGGTTCTAGTCATGAGTTGCCAAGGCTATGGAAACCTTTTGGGTTCACCAACTTCGATCTTACTCTGACAGGGTCATAGTCAAAGTGGAAGTTCTCTCCTCCCTTCAGAGAAAAGTACCTCCTTCTTTGATGGCCCCATTCATTCTACTGGGATCTCACTCGCAGAGATCTTTCATTTAGGTTTTTTTTTTTTTTTTGCCAGAGTGTTTTGGCTTTCCATGCCTCAAATACTCTCATGGGCTCTTCAGCCATATCCAAATGCCTTAAGGGCTGATTCTGAGACCAGAGTGTTATTTAGGACATATGCCATTCTATGAGTCTGCTGTGTATCCCGCTTCCCATGTTGGATCATTCTCTCCCTTTTTGATTCTATCAGTTAGTATTAGCAGACACTAGTCTTGTTTGTGTGATCCCTTTGACTCTTAGACCTATCCGTGTGATCAACTGTGAACTGAAATTGATCACTTGGACTAGTGAGATGGCATTGGTACATGCCACTTTGATGGGATTGAATTGAAATCCCCTGGCACGATTCTAACTCCACCATTTGGGGCAAGTCCAATTGAGCATGTCCTAAATTGTTCATTGCTGTTTATTGTAATGTCTCCTTTTTCATCTCTAATTTTATTTATTTGGGCTTTCTCTCTTTTTTTATTTGTTAGTTTGCCTAGAGGTTTTTCTATTTTGTTTATCTTCTCAAAAAACCAACTTTTTGTCTTGTTGATCATTAGTATATTTTTTAGTTTCAGTTCCATTTATTTCTGCTCTGATCCTTATTATTTCTTGCCTCCTGCTGCTTTTGAATTTGATTTGTTCTTGTTTTTCTAAGTCTTTGACATACATCTTCAGATCTTTAATCTGAGACATTCTTCTTTTTGAATGTCATGCTATAAACTTCCCTCTTAATATTGCTTTTGTTATATTCCAGCAAAATATGTTGTATTTTCATTTTCATTTATTTCAAGAAAGTTTTTTATTTGCTTTTTAATTTCTTCAATGACCCATTGGTCATTCAGTAACATGTTGTTTATTTATGAATGTTTTCTTGCTGTTCTTGTTAGCAGTTTGATGTAAGCCATCATTACTTCTGGAAGGAATATTGTCAATAGCCCCAAATTGAGTGTCATTGTTTTCATATTAACACTAAATCTATGTCCATCACTGTAACTTGATAATCCTTTTAAAGCAGAATTCAAGTCATGACACTTTCCTTATAAAGCTTCACTGCCTTTTCATCCTGTTCACTGATCATCAGAAGACCTCCCAGCTGCCCACTGGTGCTAGCACAGTCTGTCTCTGCTCCTCTCCCCTGCCCCAGATCCATGCTGTCTTGACTCCCACTTCCATTGCTGCCAACCACACTGACTCTGCTTCAGGAACATTGATCCCCTTTCTGTCCCTTGATCTTGCTAAGTCCCTGTTACTTTTTCCTTCTTGATATTCCCTTTCTGTTAAACATTCCTTTTTGCATTAAGCAACATGCTATACTCCCTTTGAATCCAAATGGTTGTAATAAAATAGTGATAGAAGTTGATTAATTAAGGTAGCAAAAATTCTTGAGAATGTTGAATAGTTTGTGACACAGCATCCTAGTATTTGTATTCAAACTGGAACAGGGTTTTTCCATGGCATAATATATGACCCGAGAGGAAATGAATAATAGTTCGAGCTTCCCTAACCCAAAAATCTGAAATCCAAGATTCTCCAAAGTCTGAAATTTACTAAAGTCTATCTGATGCCACTGGTGGAAAATTTCACACCTGACTTCATATAACAAGTCACAGTCAGAATGAAGGTGTCTAACACAAAGTTTAAGATTACCTTCAGGCTATGTATATATGACTTCATTAACATGAAACATAATGAACTTAATGCTGAGTCTTAGATCCCCTCTCCATGATAACTCATGCACATCAAATATCCCAAAATCTGAAAAATGTTGACCTTTAAATCACTTCTGGTCCCAAGCATTTTGAATGAGGGATACTTGGCCTATATAATGAAAATTACTACACTAGAACAACTGGATCATTTCAGAAAAAGGTAGTCTTTTCCCTATAGCTTAGTTTATGTGAATTCTCATCCGAGATCAGTCCACAGGACAAGTTTTATCTTTATTTGATGTTGGTGAGGAGAACATAACAGGAGACTGGGTTGAGAACAAGGAAACCCAACAATAAGTATCATTTAAGAACAAAAATTTCAGATTTGGAAACAGTTTAATGACACAGTCTGTGACCATGCTCTTGGGATATCAGGAAACGCCACACTAGTGGTAGGGTTGTCCTTAAAGGGTGGACATCGTGATGAAAAGGCTTAAGTTACTGCTTGGGACACCTGCATCCCATATCAGAGTGCCTGATTTCAAGTCCCACCTTCCTTCCTGATTGAGCTTCCAGCTTAATGCCCACCCTGGGGGCAGCAGGTGATGGTTCAAATACTTGGGCCCCTGCCACCCATGTAGGAGACCTGGATGGACTTTCTGGCTCTTGGCTTTGGCTGGCCCAGCCTCACCTGTTGCAGGCATTTGGGGAGTGGACCAATAGAAGGAAAATCTTTGTCATTCTGCCTTTCAAATAAATTTAAAAAAAATTTAAATATGCCCACAATTAGAAAAAAAAGTATCCCATCCTGAAAGCAGTTAATATTGGGGTAGAAGACAAGGCAGACCTAGGGTTGTGGAAATGATAAGACTTCCTCATCAACTTGAGACCTAGGAGCTGGTGAATTTAAACTGTCATGAGAGTCTTGGAGCAATACAGCACTTAGTGCTGTCCCAGTTCCCTCCCCACATACTTTGGAGTGTCCTCATCAAAATATTTCTATTTCTTTTTGTCAGTGCATGAATACTGAGAAATAGGAAGAAAATAGCTTGTACCTATTCAGTGAGTTTCCATGGGTAATAGCAGTTAATTAATTAGATTTCCCTTCCTAATTGTGTTCTACTCAACCATTGTAGGCATTGGGGAGCTATGTCCACTCCTTTATCAAGACATCAGAGAGAGGTGCTCTTAAAACAGGTTAGCTATGTGAAAAAGAAATTGGAGACAGACTAACTCACTACAAGTCGATTTTCTAAAAGCCAGTTAAAGAAATGCCCTATTTAATTACTGGCTGTTTGCCTAAATGGATTTTCAGAAGAGACCTGTAGCCTGGGCAGATTGAAAGAAACTTAAAATGAGCCCAAGCATATCCATAAAGTAGACCTTTTTAAAAAAAACTTTAATAAATATAAATTTTAAAAGTACAACTTTTGGATCATAGCATCTCTTCCTCCCATAACCTCCCTCCCACCTGCAACCACCCCATCTCCCACTCCCTTTCCCATCTCATTCTTCATCATGATTCATTTTCAATTATCTTTATATACAGAAGATCAACTTAGTATAAACTAAGTAAAGATTTCAACAGGCTGCACCTACAAAGACACACAAAGTATAGAGTACTGTTTGAGTAGCAGTTTTACCATTAATTCTCATAGTACAACACATTGAGGGCAGAGGTCCTACATGGGGAGTAAGTGCATAGTGACTCCCGTTGTTGATTTAACAACGACACTCTTATTTATGATGTCAGTAATTACCCTAGGCTCTTGTCATGAGTTGCCAAGGCTATGGAAGCCTCTTGAGTTCACAAACTCCAACCTTATTTAGACAAGGCCATAATCAAAGTGGAAGTTCTCTCTTCCCTTCAGAGAAAGGTACCTCTTTCTTTGATGGCCCATTCTTTCCGCTGGGATTTCACTCACAGAGATCTTTCATTTAGGTCATTTTTCTTGCCACAGTGTCTTGGATTACCATGCATAAAGTAGACCTTTTACAAGAATCAACATTGTTCTATTTACATTCCAAAGCAGACTACATCCATCTCCACCATGGGTATAGTTGGTGTCTGCTCTTTTCTCTCACTGGCCTGGAGTATGTGAAGAAGAGGCCCCACAATTTGCCTTTGAACTGGGGCACAGAATAACATCATGCTAGTTCCCTATCTCAACTTAATAGGCTAAAGCTGTTCATTAATTGAATACATAAATTAGAGTGTTGTCTTTGGCAGTACAAGGACATGGACTAGGGAATTGAAAGATATTGGAGGAAAAAGCTAGAAAGAAAGAACTGCATGCCCTGGGTGTCTGCGCACTTGAGGATGGGAAGTAAATGAGGAGAGGAAGCCTTCTGAGGACCCTCCATCTAAGCTTTGCCAGCTCTGTAAACCCAGGCCAAATGCCTTTCCCAGCACAGGTCTTAGGTTCCCCTCAACAAATCTGAAAGGTGGAAGTAAAAATCTAAACCTCCCCCAGACCTGAGCAACCTTGACAATGGGATATTGAGAGCAAAGCCCACAGGGTAAAAAACCAGATTCCACCATGAATCTGAGCCTGGTTCTTAGCTCTGGGTCTCTACCACTGGTTCAGGGAGATGTGCCCCAGGTTAACAGTCAACCCTAACCCCCTTCAATTTGTTTCTGATTAAAAATTAACCAGGTCACTGGATAAAGAAATTATGGTGTATATGCACCATGGCATATGACTCAGCTGTAAAAAAAAAAATGAAATCCTGTCTTTTGCAACAAAATGGATGGAACTGGAAACCATTATACTTAGTGAAATAAGCCAGTCCCCAAAAGACAAATCCTTTATGTTTTCCCTGATCCGTGGTAACTAAAAGAGTACCAAAAATGTAATGTATAAGACTGAAATTGACATTTTGAGCTTCAATGATTGCTTACAACCCTTAACAGTGTTTTTTTTTCTTCTTACTATTTGTTGAACTCTTTACTTAGTGTAGGGTTGACCTTATGATTATAAAGTAAATATGATTATGAAGTAAATCATATAATCTTATGATTATAAAGTAGATCATTGTAAAAATTAAGAGAGACTAGGAAAGGCAGGAGGAGGAAGGGTGGGAGGGTAGGGAAGTATCACTGTGTTCCTAAATCTGTATATATGAAATACATGAAATTAACAAAACTATGGCATAATATTTTAATATTATAGTAAACATGTGTAATGTAATACTACATTATATACACATATTCATATATATCCAGTTCTAGAGGCTGAGAGTTCAAATCTGGTGAGGGCCCCATTCTGTGTCCTAATGTGGCCAAATAGTGGAAGGCAAATGAACTGACATGGAAGAGAGAACAGGGGGCCAGAGTCAATGCAGCTCACCCATTCACGAGGCCACCCCCCATAAAGGAAACATTTCCCACAAAGCCTCACCCCCTGACACTGCCACACTGGGGAGTAGAAGCCTCTGTAAATGTTGATCAGAACAAACCTTAGCACCCACATGCATGCACACACACATGCATACATATATATGCATTTATGCATACATACATATACATGTACACACACATGCACACAGATAATGGGATATTATTTAGCTGTATCACAGAAGGAAATCTTGCAATTTGCAGCATCATGGATGACACATTATGCTATGTGAATCGACCATTGCAGAATGACAAATACTTTATGATCTCCTTGTATGTGGAATCTAAAATAGTCAAACTAATAGAAACAGAGTGGAATGGTGGCTGTGAGGGGCTAGAGGAGGAAAAATGGAAAGATGTGATGAATGGGGTACAGAGTTTCTGGGGTGGGCATTGTGGCACAGCAGGTTAAGCCTCCACTTGGGGTGCCCACATCCCATATTGGAGTGGCAGTCCAAGTCCTGCCTTCCCTTCTTCCAATCAAGCACCTTGTGAATATGCCTGGGAAGGCAGCAGATAATAGATTAAATACTTGAATTCCTGCAACCCATGTCGGAGACCCAGATTTAGTTCTGACTTTGGCTTCACCCTGGCTCAGCTCTGGCTGTTGTGGCCATCTGGGGAATACACCAACAGATGGAAGATCAGCCTGCCTCTCTCTCTCTCTCTCTCTCTCTCTCTCTCACACACACACACACACATGCACTCTGACTCCATTTCAAATAAATAGATCTTTTTTTCATTTTTTTAACTTTTATTTAATGAATATAAATTTCCAAAGTACAGAATATTGATTACAATGGCTTCCCCCCCATAACGTCCCAACAACCCGCAACCCTCCCCTTTCCCACTCCCTCTCCCCTTCCATTCACATCAAGATTCATTTTCGATTCTCTTTATATACAGAAGATCAGTTTAGCATACATTAAGTAAAGAATTTCAACAGTTTGCTCCCACACAGAAACATAAAGTGAAAAATACTGTTTGAGTACTAGTTATAGCATTAAATCTCAATGTACAGCACACTAAGGACAAAGATCCTACATGAGGAATAAGTGCACAGTGACTCCTGTTGTTGCCTTAACAAATTGACACTCTTGTTTATGGCCTCAGTAATCACCCTAAGCTCTTGTCATGAGCTGCCAAGGCTATGGAAGCCCCCTGAGTTCACTGACTCTGATCATTTTTAGACAAGGCCATGGTCAAAGTGGAAGTTCTCTCCTCCCTTCAGAGAAAGGTACCTCCTTCTTTGATGACCCATTCTTTCCACTGGGATCTCACTCGTGGAGATCTTTCATTTAGGTTTTTTTTTCCCCCAGAGTGTCTTGGCTTTCCATGCCTGAAATACTCTCATGGGCATTTCAGCCTGATGCACATGCCTTAAGGGCTGATCATGAGGCTGAGTGCTGTTAGGACATTTGCCATTCTATGGGTCTGCTGTGTATCTCACTTCCCATGTTGGATCATTCTCTCCCTTTTTGATTCTATCAGCTAGTATTTGCAGACACTATTCTTGTTTATGTGATCCCTTTGGTTCTTAGTCCTATCATTACGATCAGTTGTGAACAGAAATTGATCACTGGGACTAGTGAGATGGCATTGGTACATGCCACCTCGATGGGATTGAATTGGAATCCCCTGGTATGTTTCTAACTCTACTGTTTGAGCTAAGTCAGCTTGAGCATGTCCCGAATTGCATATCTCTTCCCTCTCTTATTCCCACTCTTATATTTAACAGCGATCACTTTTCAGGTAAGTTTCAGCACTTAAGAAGAATTGTGTATTGATTACAGTATTCAACCAAAAGTATTAAGTAGAACAAACAAAAAAATACTAAGAGGGATAACATATTAAGCTGCTCATCAACAGTCAGGGTGAGGGCTGATCAAGTCACCGTATCTCATACTGTTCATTTCACTTTAACAGGTTTCCTTTTTGGTGCTCAGTTAGTTGTCACCTATCAAGGAGAACAAGTGGTATTTGTCCCTTTGGGATTGGCTTATTTCACTCAACATAATGTTTTCCAAATTCCTAACAGGGATCACTTTTCAGTTAAAATTTAAACACCTAAGAATAATTGTGTGTTAATTACAGAGTTCAACCAATAGTACTAGAACAAAAAAAATACTAAAATGGATAAAGTATTACATTGTACATCAACCGTCAGGACAAGAGCTGATCAAGTCACTGTTTCTCATAGTGTCCATTTTTTTTTAAATTTTTTTTTTATTTTTTATTTTTTTTTGACAGGCAGAGTGGACAGTGAGAGAGAGAGACAGAGAGAAAGGTCTTCCTTTGCCGTTGGTTCACCCTCCAATGGCCGCCGCGGCCAGCGCGCTGCGGCCGGCACACCGCGCTGATCCGATGGCAGGAGCCAGGAGCCAGGTGCTTTTCCTGGTCTCCCATGGGGTGCAGGGCCCAAGCACCTGGGCCATCCTCCACTGCACTCCCTGGCCACAGCAGAGAGCTGGCCTGGAAGAGGGGCAACCGGGACAGAATCCGGCGCCCCAACCGGGACTAGAACCCGGTGTGCTGGCGCCGCTAGGCGGAGGATTAGCCTATTGAGCCGCGGCGCCGGCCCCATAGTGTCCATTTCACTTCAACAAGTTTCCCCTTTGGTGCTCAGTTAGTTGTCGCCAATCAGGGAGAACATGATATTTGTCCCTTTGGGACTGGCTTAATTCACTCAGCATGATGTTTTCCAAATTCCTCCATCGTGTTGCAAATGACTGGGTTTCGTTGTTTTTGACTGCTATATAGTATTCTATAGAGTACATGTCCCATAATTTCTTTATCCAGTCTACTGTTGATGGGCATTTGGGTTGGTTCCAGGTCTTAGCTATGGTGAATTGAGCTGCAATAAACATTAAGGTGCAGACTGCTTTTTTGTTTGCCAATTTAATTTCCTTTGGGTAAATTCCAGGGAGTGGGATGGCTGGGTTGAATGGTAGGGTTATATTCAGGTTTCTGAGGAATCTCCAAACTGACTTCCATAGTGGCTTAACCAGTTTGCATTCCCACCAACAGTGGGTTAGTGTCCCATTTCCCCACATCCTCTCCAGCATCTATTGTTGGTAGATTTCTGCATGTGAGCCATTCTAACTGGGGTGAGGTGAAACCTCATTGTGGTTTTGATTTGCATTTCCCTGATTGCTAGTGATCTTGAACATTTTTTCATGTGTCTGTTGGCCATTTGGATTTCCTCTTTTGAAAAATGTCTATTGAGGTCTTTGGCCCATCTCTTAAGTGGGTTGTTTGTTTTGATGTTGTGGAGTTTCTTGATTTCTTTGTAGATCAACCCTTTATCTGTTACATAGTTTGCAAATATATTTTCCCATTCTGTCGGTTGTCTCTTCACTTTCCTGACTGTTTCTTTTGCAGTACAGAAACTTCTCAATTTGATGCAATCCCAAATGTTAATTTTGGCTTTGACTGCCTGTGCTTCCGGGGTCTTTTCCAAGAAGTCATTGCCGGTACCTATATCTTGCAGGGTTTTTCCAATGCTCTCTAATAATTTGATGGTGTCAGGTCATAGATTTAAGTCTTTAATCCATGTTGAGTGGATTTTTGTGTAAGGTGAAAGGTAGGGGTCTTGCTTCATGGTTCTGCACGTGGAAATCCAATTTTCCCAGCACCATTTATTGAATAGACTGTCCTTACTCCAGGGATTGGTTTTGGACCCTTGATCAAATATGAGTTGGCTGTAGATGTTTGGATTGATTTCTGGTGTTTCTATTCTGTTCCATTGGTCTATCCATCTGTTTCTGTACCAGTACCATGCTGTTTTGATTACAACTGCCCTGTAGTATGTCCTGATATCTGGTATTGTGATGCCTCTGGATTTGTTTTTGTTGTACAAGATTGCTTTAGCTATTCGAGGTCTCCTGTATCTCCATATAAATTTCAGCAGCATTTTTTCTAGATCTGAGAGGAAGGTCTTCGGTATCTTGATTGATATTGCATTGAATGTATAAATTGCTTTTGGGAGAATGGACATTTTGATGATATTGATTCTTCCAATCCATGAGCATGGAAGATTTTTCCATTTCTTGGTATCCTCTTCTATTTCTTTCTTTAAGGTTTTGTAATTTTCATCGTAGAGATCTTTAACGTCCTTGGTTAAGTTTATTCCAAGGTATTTGATTGTTTTTGTAGCTATTGTGAATGGGATTGATCTTAGCAGTTCTTCCTCAGCCATGGCATTGTCTGTGTATACAAAGGCTGTTGATTTTTGTGCATTGATTTTATACCCTGCTACTTTGCCAAAATCTTCTATGAGTTCCAATAGTCTCTTAGTAGAGTTCTTTGGGTCCCCTAAATAAAGAATCGTATCATCTGCAAAGAGGGATAGTTTGAGTTCTTCCTTCCCAATTTGTATCCCTTTAATTTCTTTTTCTTGCCTAATAGCTCTGGCTAAAACTTCCAGAACTATATTGAATAGCAGTGGTGAGAGTGGGCATCCCTGTCTGGTACCAGATCTCAGTGGAAATGCTTCCAACTTTTCCCCATTCAATAGGATGTTGGCTGTGGGTTTTTCATAGATTGCTTTGATTGTATTGAGGAATGTTCCTTCCAAACCCAGTTTGCTTAGAGTTTTCATAATGAACGGGTGTTGTAGTTTATCAAATGCTTTCTTGGCGTCTATTGAGATAATCATATGGTTTTTCTTCTGCAGTCTGTTAATGTGGTGTATCACATTGATTGTCTTTCACACATTAAACCATCCCTGCATACCAGGGATAAATCCCACTTGGTCTGGGTGGATGATCTTTCTGATGTGTCGTTGCATTCTATTGGCGAGAATTTTATTGAGGATTTTTGCATCTATGTTCATCAGGGATATTGGTCTGTAATTCTCTTTCCATGCTGCATCTTTTTCCGGCTTAGGAATTAAGGTGATGCTGGCTTCATAGAAAGAATTTGGGAGGATTCCCTCTTCTTCGATTGTTCTGAACAGTTTGAGAAGAATTGGAGTTAGTTCTTCTTTAAATGTCTGGTAGAATTCAGCAGTGAATCCATCTGGTCCTGGGCTTTTCTTTGTTGGGAGGGCCTTTATTACTGTTTCAATTTCTGTCTCAGTTATGGGTCTGTTTAGGTTTTCTATGTCTTCCTGGTTCAATTTAGGTAGGTTGCATGTGTCCAGGAATCTATCCATTTCTGATAGGTTTCCCTGTTTGCTGCCATACAAGTCCTTGTAGTAATTTCTGATGATTTTTTTTTATTTCTGTGGTGTCTGTTGTTACATTTCCTTTTTCATCTCTGATTTTATTGATTTGGGTCTTTTCTCTTCTTTTTTTAGTTAGTTGGGCCAATGGGGTGTCAATTTTGTTTATTTTTTCAAAAAACCAGCTCCTTGGTTGGCTGATTTTTTGGAATGTTTTTCTTGATTCAATCCTGTTGATTTCTTTGATTTTAATTATTTCTCTTCTCCTACTTGATATGGGTCTGGTTTGCTGCAGTTTTTCTAGATCCTTGAGATGCGTTGAAAGCTCATCTATTTGGTGCCTTTCCAATTTCTTGATGTAGGCACCTATTGATATAAACTTTCCTCTTTTTTTTTTTTTTTTGACAGGCAGAGTGGATAGTGAGAGAGAGAGAGACAGAGAGAAAGGTCTTCCTTTTGCCGTTGGTTCACCCTCCAATGGCAGCCGCGGCCGGCGTGCTGCGGCCGGCGCACCGCGCTGATCCGATGGCAGGAGCCAGGAGCCAGGTGCTTTTCCTGGTCTCCCCATGGGGTGCAGGGCCCAAGCACCTGGGCCATCCTCCACTGCACTCCCTGGCCACAGCAGAGGGCTGGCCTGGAAGAGGGGCAACCGGGACAGAATCCGGTGCCCCGACCGGGACTAGAACCCGGTGTGCTGGCGCCGCTAGGCGGAGGATTAGCCTAGTGAGCCGTGGCGCTGGCCTAAACTTTCCTCTTAACACTGCTTTTGCTGCATCCCATAAGGTTTGGTATGTTGTGCTGTTATCCTCATTTACTTCCAGAAAGTTTTTGATTTCTCTTCTAATTTCTTCTATGACCCATTGTTCATTCAGGAGCATGTTGTTCAATCTCCATGTGTTTGCATATGCTCTAGGGATTCCTGAGTTGCTAATTTCCAACTTCATTTCTTTATGGTCTGAGAAGCTGCATGGTATGATTCTAATTCTTTTGAATTTGCTGAGACTTGCTTTATAGCCTAGTATGTGGTCAATCCTAGAGAAGGTTCCATGTACTGCTGAGAAGAATGTAAAATCTTTAGCTGTAGGATTGAAAGTTCTGTATATATCTGTTAGATCCATTTGGTCTATAGTCTCGTTTAAATCTACTGTATCCTTATTCATCTTCTGTCCTGTTGATCTGTCTATTTCTGAGAGTGGAGTATTGAAGTCCCCCAGTACTATTGCATTGGGGTCTAAGTCTCCCTTTAAGTCCCTTAACAAATCTTTTAGATAAGCCGGTGCCCTGTAGTTAGGTGCATATACATTGATAATTGTTATATCTTCTTGTTGTATTGATCCCTTAATCATTATATAGTGTCCCTCTTTGTCTCTCTTAACAGTTTTTGTGGTAAAGTTTATGTTGTCTGATATTAAGATGGCTATGCCCGCTCTTTTTTCATTTCTGTTGGCATGGTATATCTTTTTCCAGCCTTTCACTTTTAGTCAGTATGGATCTTTGTTGGAAAGATGTGTTTCTTTTAAGCAGCAAATAGATGGATTTTGTTCCTTAACCCAATCAGCCAATCGGTGTCTTTTAACTGGACAGTTCAGGCCATTCACGTTCAATGTGACTGATGATAAGTGGTAACTTTGCCCTGCCATTTGCCAAAGATAAGTTCTAATATATGCTTTGAATTCCCTGTGATCTTTTGCTGTGAGCTTTCCTTCCTTTACCTTCTTTCATATTGATAACCGTGTTTCTGTGTTTCTGTGTGTAACACATCTTTAAGCATCTTTTGCAGGGCTGGACGAGTGGCGACAATTTCTTTCAATTTCTGTTTGCTATGAAAAGTCTTTATTTCACCTTCATTCACAAATGATAGCTTTGCAGGATATAATATTCTGGGCTGGCAGTTTTTCTCTCTTAGTACCTGGGCTATATCTCGCCATTCCCTCCTAGCTTGTAGGGTTTCTGATGAGAAGTCAGCTGTGAGTCTGATTGGAGATCCTCTGAGAGTAATCTGACGTTTCTCTGTTGCACATTTTAGGATCTTTTCTTTATGTTTCACTGTGGAGAGTTTAATTACAACGTGTCGTGGTGAGGATCTCTTTTGGTCATGTTTATTAGGGATTCTGTGAGCTTCCTGTACTAGAGTTTCTCTGTCCTTCTCCAAACCTGGGAAATTTTCTGCTAATATCTCACTAAAAAGGCCTTCCAATCCTTTCTCCCTCTCCATGCCTTCAGGAACTCCTAGAACCCGAATGTTGGTTTTTTTAATAGTATCCTGAAGATTCCTGACAATCTTTTTTAGATTTCTAATTTCCTCTTCTTTTCTTTGGTCTGACTGTATCCTTTCCTGTTCTCTGTCTTCTAAGTCCGATATTCTCTCTTCTGCTTCACCCATTCTGTTTGTAAGGCTCTCTATTGTGTTTTTCATTTGATCTATTGAATTCTTCACTTCATTATGATTTCTCGTCACTATCCCAGTTTCCTGTTGTACTAGTTGTTTCGTTTCATTTTGATTCCTCCTTAATATTTCATTTTCACGAGAGAGATTTTCTATCTTGTCCATTAAGGATTTCTGTAGTTCAAGAATTTGTTTTTGAGAACTTCTTAATGTTCTTATCAATTTTTTGAGATCTGCTTCTTGCATTTCTTCTAACTCATCGTCTTCATAATCTTGAATTGGGGTGTCTTTTTCATTTGGGGGCGTCATGGTGACTTCCTTGTTTTTATTACCTCGGTTTTTGCGTTTGTTATTTGGCATTTTGGAGATATTTGGTTTCTTCACTGTGGTGCTTTTTCTTGTTATACTATGACTCTAGATTAAGTGGACTGTCTGTTTTTGATGGAGCCTTAGAGGCTTGAGATGGGTGTGGCCTGAGAGCTCTGTTTGGTGTGCCAAAGGTGACACTCCCAGGTTAGGCGTGGTAAACCTCTCTCTCTCTCTCTTTGTTTCTTTTTTTGATTCAAAACGGAAGTAATTCCACACAGCTGAATGAAGTTGGAGGTAGTTAGCAGGCAAATGATACACCCACAGGAGCCAGAGATTGGAAGCTCTTTCCCAAGGACCACACAGGGAATCTGTTCTGCCCTCAGGGTGGGCTCAGATTCTCCTTCAGTCTCCCACTGGGTTGCCAAAGTTACGGAATTGTAGCGTCTCTGGAGAGTACTCACGTGAATTCCGTGAGTTCTCTCCCCCACCATCTCTTTTTTCACAGTCTAGTTCAGTAGCACCACAAATTTACTAGGTCCTAATCTCCTGTTAATTCGCCCCGCCCAGAGTCAGGTTTTTCTGCTAGGCTCAGGGCCGGTGCAGACCTGAGGTCACTCTGCTTATGACGTATGTCCAAGATGGCGCCTGCTCTTTGTCTTGCTCGCCCTTGAGAGGTGAGCGGAAAGAGAGAAACCCGTGTCCGTACCAGTCACCTTTTTTTTCTCTCTCTCTCTCTCTTCCAGTTAGCCTGGTGAACTCCCCCCCCCCCCGGGGGTCGTTCCCTCTAGTCTCCTCTCTCTGGTTGCCTGCCGGTGTCTCGGGCTATTGAGGTTCGGCTCACCTCGCGTTCCAGCGCTGGTGTGTTGAGTCTGCCACTGGTGTCCCGATCTGTGGGCTCCCATGCTCTCCACGCAGGTCCACTGTGAATCACGCATTCCAGAAGAGTTTCTTCTGCTGTTTCCTCCCCTACTCTTCCTTGAATCTGCAGTATCTCCACTTTTATTAAACTGTCTCTCCCCGGACTATGAGTGTGCTCCCTGTCACTCCCCCTGTTCATGGAGGAGCAACACTAAACCCTGCCTAGGCTTCATATCCGAGTCACGGCACCATTATGTCGCTCCCCCTCTTCGTGGAGGAACGACACAGGACCCTGCGCTGTTCTTTCGTCTGCTCGGCCCTCCCCGGGTTTGCTGCTGGTTCTTCCCGGGTTGGCTACTGTCCCTTCCACCTCCGTGGAAGGGCGGTTCCCCCTGCCACATTCCCCACTTCCGCAGGGGAGCGGCACACCGCCGGCCGGCTCTCTTGGGGGCTGCACAGGTGTTCCCCTTAGATGTTCCCCTTAGATGTTCCTGGTGCATGCCGTCTCTCTCCTCCTTTATAGTCCTCTTCCACCAATCCCAACTCAGCTGCCCACACGCCGAGTACGCTGCTCTCCTCCAATCAGAAGCAAGTCCTACAGTTTATTGGTTGAACTGGAGGCAGCTGCGTAGAAGCTGTTTTCTCCTCTCCCAGCGCCATATTGTGGGAGAGCAGATGCACAGAATAAGTCTTAATTCCAGTAACTTAGTCTAGTCCAGGTTGCTCCCCACACTCCCTTCCTATTCCGCCATCTTGCCTCCTCTGTCTCAAATAGATCTTTTTTTTTAAAGGGAGGGGGTACAAACTTTGAGTTAAGTGAGAGGAATAAGTTCTAGAGATCTAGCAAACAGCATTGGCTATTGTTAATGATATTTTATTTTGCTAAGAAGGTAGATCTTAAGCATTCTTGCCTCAGTGGGAGGAGGAGGTGGGGCTGGGACATGGTAACCCCATGAAGTGAAAGTTTTGTTCATTCACTCGATTGTGATGATTATTTCACAATCTATATGTATATAAAATCCCCAAATTATATACCGTAAATGTGCACAATCAAAGCTTTTTTTATTGAAAAGCAAAGAGTCAAAGACAAAGAGCGAGAATGAGAGAGAGATCTTCCATGCACTGGTTCATTCCCCAAATGCCCACAGCAACCATGGCTGGGCCATGCTTTGTATCTAGTAAAATTGGTATCTTTGCATCTAGTAAAATTTGATTGTGTTTTATTTGCAGTTAATTTTGAAACCATATTGTTGTGTCTACTACTTGCCTGTTATATTTTATCTATTCTTTGACTTTCAAACTATTTGTGTTGCTGTGTTTACAATGTATCTCTCCTAGGCAGCTGATATTTGGTGTTTTCTTTCTTATATCCAACTTGATATATCTTCTAAGTGCTTGCTCTACTTACATTTAATGTAATTATTTCTATGTATTTATTTAGTCTGCCATTTTGCTAGCTTTTTTTCTTTTTCATTTATTATATGTTCCTCTGTTCCATTTTTCTTGACCCGTTTTGTTTCATATATTTCATGACTCCATTTAAAAGCTATTGTAATGTTTCCAGCTCTCTTTCTTTGTATTATTTTTTCTAGTATTCTAAATTACAGAGTGTAAATCTTGAAGTTATCCCATTGTATTTAGTTTTTATATTGAACTAATACAAGTAAAAAAGTAAGAGTTTTACCAATAATATTAAATAGATTGGTGCTTTGGTCCCAAGAGAACCCGACATTCATTGAATTGTTTAATGGACAAATGGACTTGATTCTGCAGGTAAAAATGATTGAACTTCACCAAGCAATTCAATCGCTTGTAGACTACACTCTTCCTCCTCATTTTCTACCTCAGTCAAATTAAAAAGTTCTGATGTTTTCCTTTCTACTTTAAGATGTGTTAAACTTCTATCTGTCCTGCTGACATATTTTGGATAGATCTAAGTTCTCCACTCAGCACATACTTCAGTGGCCATTTCAAGTCTGGGTAGGGCACACTCTGACAAACAGATCTCGGTAAGATGGTCACTGTCACCTGTACAGTGGGAGACAGGAGGCATTGAAATTGCATACACCAGACAAACAGGTGGGCTTGGAAGCATCTTTTCTGTGAGTTACAAAAGAGGCGAAGTTTTATTAAGCTAGACTGGGAGTGGGCTTGTGGGTACACGATGGCTCTCAGGAAGAAGCTGGTTGTGGGTGCAGACAGATGGAATGGATTTGCTCCAGATGGAAGAATGAGGTCGAAGTCTGGGACCCAGAGAGGAGGAGCTGAGGAGGAGTAAGCAACAGCAAGTGCTCCCCGAAACCATATTCTTCTTCCTGTTCAGACTGTGCTCAAACAGATGTTATGTACCCAGTGCAAAAATATGCATGTGAACACATGTATTCGAAACTTAGTATGGCTTTAAGCAAAGTTTCTACATCTCCAAGGGATATTTGATTTTCTAACTATAATCCAAATTTGAACATAAGAAATTGTTGAAGATTATTATCAAGAGTTTTTCCTTTACTCTTCAGGAAAGTTTTAGCCATGATCTAGCAAAGAAGTGATGTGGCTTCACGTTCTTATGTGGGGTTTGCACTCAGATGGGATTTCTTGGCGTATTATCTCCCCATAGTTTCTAAGATACACAAGAGGACTTCTAAATTTCTGGAACTACATATTATGAAAAACTCGTGTGAATTTCAAAGCTTTTTTGAACAAAAACAAGTATCTTTTAATCACACTTTTGCACAAACACTTTTGAGTCCCTTTATAGTAGAATACTGGAAATTTGATGACTTTCAATAAGAAATGGTTGACCAGTTGATGGGTTATACATCTTTACTGCTTTTAGGAGTACATTCACATTGGTAAATCGGGCTCTTCCAAATGATAGCCATTCACTGGACTTCGGGGGAAAGATGGGGTGGAGGGTTGTTCTGAAATTTCTATCTACTGGAGCAATCTAAGTGTGCTCTTACTCCTCATTTTCATAGAGCAAATACCCAAAGAACACACTTTGAATCAATCCTTTCTCAGTATCTGTAGTGTCTAGCTTGGATTCCAACCAGATCCTGTCTCCTACTAACAGCTTCAAGATGACACTTCCAGAAACATGCCCATTGTTGTCCTCAGCCCTGGCTTCCTTCTCAAGGACTTCGATACCATTTTTCATGAGCCCTAACTTTACAACTTGCCGAAACAAGTCAATGTCAAAGCCAAAGTGATACACGCCAGCGTGGGTGCAGGTGAACACTCCCGTGGTGAGGTTGAAGTGGTCCTGATGGTTAAGCAGCACTTCCTTGAAGATGATGGGCTGGGAGGGGCCTGGGAGGAGATCTCTGAACTTCACTGCAAAGGCAGGTTTGGGTGAAGAACACTTTGTGATGTCTCCTGGAGCCCCTGGAAAGCCTGGTAGGCCTAGAAAGCCAGGGAGTCCTAAATATCCATGTAAAGAGAAGGGAGAAATAAGAGATTTGAAGTTCACACTTCTTACATGGGTTCCTTTTCACTTTACTTATCCTTATTAACTGCCTTTCGAGGGCCATCTTAGGCATCCCTTTTCCAAGGATGTCTTTCACTCCTAGGTGCCATATCAACAGCAGAACCCAATGCTTATCACACTGAATAGTAATCTCTCCTGTCAGTGTCTATTTCATGTCCTTATCTATATTATGAGCCAGTGCGTATTTCATTTTCTTTCCAAAGTGCCACCTCAGTGTCCAGCATTGAGTTGGTACTCATGGTGCGTTTTCTGAAGCGATGATTGTATAAATAATTGCCAGCTTGCTCTTTCAAATTCACTTCATATGTAGGGATCACATGTGTCTATTATCACAGATGGCAGTTAGGGACTCCTCTTTGGAAGCATTGACAGTAATTGAGGAAGTGTGTTGTATCAGAGACAAAGGGGATTTAGAGCAATGTGTTCTCAACTAGACTGTGTTAGAGTCAATCAAAAGTCCGTGAGTGTTACAGTGGCCTGACTAGTAAGGTTGTGACTTTCTGAATCAGAGACTGGGGGCAGGGGACCTAAGTACAGACATCTATGGGTTGAAAAGGGAATGCGGGTGACTCTGATGCACAGACTGGTTTAGGAAGCACAGGTGAGGGATCAGGTGGGTGAGCTGTTTCCAGTGAGGCTCATGCAGCCATGGAAGCTCTCAGAACTGAGGGGTGAGCTCTTAATGTTGTGTTCTCTGGTGCTTCCTGTGATACCATGCTTTCACTGGGTTTACTGGAAGCCCACCTAGCACCACTGGTAATTATGCACTATACAAAACTACTATGCCAATTTCAAGAGCACATACACCTAAATGTTATCTCAACACACCCTCATTTTTCAATTAGGTTAACCTCAAGCAGTGGCTTCTTCAGAACACACTCTTGAAGTTCCCCTGGAGTAAACCTTCAGCATCTATTTTCAGGTACAGCTGTGCTTGGGAATGAGAATCCATGATAATTTTTCTCCAAAGAATTCTTGTCTCATTCATTACTGATGGTTAGTGGCACCTATATGTTTTCACTGGGGTTGTGGCTATTTCAATAAAAGGGAAGCAAGGCATGACCAGTGCAACCTGAAGGGAGACATTTTCTCACCTCGTGCTCCAACTGGACCAGGCGGCCCTCGGATCCCTGGAATTCCTGGGAATCCTGGTCTGTTGCAGAACTTTGACATTTCTGGAGAGCCGACATCAGCCACAGCTGATACAAGAGACAAAGCTGAAATCCAGACATTTACAACAGGGAATCAATAGAAAAAAAATGGACATAAGTGAAAAGATTCTGCTACTCCTCATGCTAAGATTATGTTCCTGACACCGTACAGGGCAGCACATTCTCACGGCGGCATAAAGTTAAGTATGAGCTTGGTCATGTCGGGCCCCCTCTCCATCTTCTTTCTTGATAGAACAAATTCAGTACTAAAGGAGATCTATAATTCACTTGTGTTTGAAGTTAAGATTGCATACTGAAAACTGACCTTCGTGGCACCCTGGGGTTTTCTCTAGGACACTCAAGCCTCCTGTCTCTTCAGGAGAGTGCTGCAGGTGGGGCTGTTCTTACGAGGGGGATGCTCCATGACCCACACAAATTAGCATGGAGCATTCTCTCAAACAAGCCACTTAGGAGTTTCAACATAGCTCGTCACTTGCTAAAAATTGCCTTCATCATTGCATGGTGAACTTCTTTTCACGTTTATTAGGAAAGAGTTGCACCATCGCTCCTTTTAATGAATTCTCCCAGACATTTCTTCAAGGGAGTGCTGTGTCTTCTGCTTCAACTCTTCATCTGCTCCTCCTGTTACATTTACTGCATGGGAGGGTGTTTGAATTATAGATGTGTCTGCTCCCTTTAATGGGGCAATGAACCACTAGACAGGAAAGAAGGAACTACTGATCCATATTGCATTTTATATTAAATCTTACTGTTGTACTTATTTCCAGGTGGGTGGAAGTAGAACCTGTAAAGTGAATTACCCACAGTGAACAAATTCATGACATACAGTGGTATAGCATTCAGTTATTTTTGTGCCAAAGACATTTATTTTACTCTGAAGTGCTGAAATAAAAAGATGGTAATTGGAAACTATAGGTATTTGGGGTTTGGCTAATTTATCTACTTTAGTCAAGGCATATCATTCTTCATTTCCAAATGTTATGCCAGGTTATGGAAAATATAGTCTAAGCTGAAGTGACAAATTGATAAATGGGTAGTATTGTATAGCAAAAAATATCAGAACTTGAGTCATTTAGTTAATTTCTAATAACATTCTTTTCTGACTTGTGTCATGAAGAAAGCAAAGGTTGCCCAAAAAAGTTGTAGTGAGCATCAGTGATCATTTACAGCAAGTGTTTGATACAGTGTTGGGTATAAGGAAACTTGCCATGAATAACTGAGAATATATACAAATGCTGTATTGCCATGGAATGACAGTTCCTTTACTCACGTTGTGAAGGTACTTTCAAAAAGTTCATGGAAATTCATACGACGCATGGGTCTCTGCCTGTTTGACATCAGCAGTAGGGGTTCAATGATTCTCAAGGTAGCACATCCCATCCTTAGCATCAAATCAGTGTTCCTGTATCTTTGTGCACCAATATAAATCCTTTTTTTAATTCCACTTTTCTACACGTCTTTCAAAGTTCCTTTGCAATGGAACATGCAGTTATGTACGATATAGATGTGAGAGTAAAATCTGTGAATGCATGCACCTCTCTTCATGAGTGACCATTGCATACTGATGCTGTAGGAGATAGTCCCCTAATATAATGAAACAATTCCTGTAAGTATTGACCTCCAACTGTTAACCTTTTCATTGGTATGTTAACCTTTTAATTGGTAACAACATCATTTTTATGGAAAATCTTCATTGAGGTTGGCTTTGCATATTATTAAATTCTGTCAAGGTAAATGTACAATTCAGTGATTTTTAAGTCATTTTGAAATGTGTGGAACCACCACCAGCATAATCCAGTTTTAGACTATTTCTGTCTCCCTCCTATGTCCATTTTTGGTCATGGCCCATTCCCACTCCCAGACCAAGACAGCCATGTTTTTTCCTTCCTGAAGACCAGCAAACCAGTAGAGCCAACTGGCTCTGACTGATGATTTTTCTGATGCTTTAAATAAAGGAGAAGAAAAGTCATGAGGAAGAAAGTCACATTCATTTTTTATGTTTTCCAAAGCCTTGCAGAGAGAACTACAAAAATTCAAATCATAGATCTGCTACTTTTCTGATAGCTCTAGCCCAGACCACCTCCGTTCCCCTTAGGCTCTCATCTAGGGCAGTGCAGTAGGTGCGTGGGAAGGGTCAGCACCGTAGCTGGAACACAGGGTGTATTTTCTCAATGTAATCAGTGCTTCCCTCCCCCGCTTCTCCTTACCTTTCCCTGCATGACCACACAGAGTTCTAACAGAGAAAGACTGTGACCCAAGATATTAACGATCCCTAACATGACAACCCAGAGCACCTGTCAGAATAGTTTTAAGGTAGATATGAAAAATGTGGAGTCTCCATGTCCCCTTCATCTGCCTCATCCCATTAACCGCGACAGCTTGTAAAGAGGAGGAGACATTGGTGTTATATTCATTCCTATAGAGAAGAATCAGAAACCCAGCAAGGGGGCAGTGGCCGGACTCCTCCCAAGTCAGTCAGGTCTCAAGGAACCAAGTAGGAAACTCACTTTCTGGACCCTTAATTGATTTTTAAAAAATTGTTCAATATTACTGGGGAGCCTGAGTCCAAATGGAGATCCAAACTCATAAATCAGCCTCTTTCCAACTCTCCTTAATGCGCGCGCACACACACACACACACACACACACGGACCATTAAAGTCCTAAAACAAAACAGAATTCAATTAGGGTCTCATTAAAACCAACGCATCAACTTCATGCAAATTTTATAACATTGAACTCAACATATATTTTTGGGACACTTTAACTGTAATATGAAGCCTAATATTGAATCTGTCATAGGCATTTATTGAGGAAGCTGATTATGCCACCTCAAGTCCCCTAAGTGAAAACTTAATGGGAAAAATTTAACTTTGCTCTTAGTTCAAGGTCTTCAAGTAACTGGTCTGTCCTTCTTTTATGAAAAATGTTAATTACATAGATTTCTCTGTTTCCCTCTAAGATTTGAATGGTTTCACTACTGGGAATCTCAGATTCAAATTTTCAGTTAAAACTTTAAATTGATCTACAGAGGAGTCATTTAGTTACTGCAAGTACATTTTAACCTGCCAATCTACCATGGGCATTTATGTTATTTGTCTTTTCATTTCCTTCACTCCTAATTTTTATGTAGTAATACTTTTCTAATATATATTATGGCTGCACATAAATGATTTTGAATATTCCATAGCAAAGGATGAGCGGGAAGAAGAAAGTCACAGCAGAGAGTAAATATGTTTGTAAATGAAATAGGTACAACTGTTTTTCTTTTGGCAAAGACTAGAACTTCAAATTGAAATTAGTATTGCAACAAATATTACAGAAGTTGGATTTTAATTCTCTATTATAATTGGTTAGCTAGTGAAAGAAACCAGACCATTTTCAGGAGATGGTGAGAGGAATTTATGGGAAAGGCACAGACAGAAGACATTGAAAATAAAATCAGAGAGGAGATAGTGACACAGGGAGAATCCCAGCAACTCTAGGTGGGCAGAGAGACAGGGAGTGCCTGAAACACAGGTGGGAAAAAAGGCCCAGAGACTCTGCAGGTGTTGACATATTTGAGTATAGGGATCAGAACATCAGTGTTTGGTGATATGTTAGAGCATTAACATAGAACACACATCCCATACTCACGTGTATGTCATTTTTGCATTTTCTACTCATCTGCTTTATTTGTGCTAAGTACATATTGGCAACAAGGCTTTGGCCCACATTGGACTTCAATTTCCATCTCCCCCTGTCTGCATATCTTCTTAAGAAGGCTCACATGCAATCTATCATTTTGTCCAGTGTTAGAGAAAAATTGTATTTAGGATTGTTGTGATGATAAAACAAATGCCAAGTGACAACAGGAGGCAGCCTTTTGGATTCTTCTCTGTACCAACAGATGAGGCCCCATTCCTTATCAGCCAGGATGGATTGCACGTACCTATCATGGCCACCGAGAGAAATCTCCCTCCTTTCCCGGGCATCCTGTAATGCAGATGTGCGTCTTTGTGGTGAACGTGTCTTCAGTTCTTCTGTTCCTCTCTCCCCTGCTTGTCTTTCAAAGCTACGAGAAACGTTATAATTGATTTTTCTTAATGTTTAGTTTTTTTCCTTATCTAAGGCCAGTTACCTCAGTTGGTTTTTATCCAGAGTAAACTTACACCAACTGATATTCAAACAGAGGCTCCATTTGTTATTTCTTCTTTTTTTAAATTTTATCCACTTCTTTTGCAATGATTGAGCAGGATTTTTTGTGATTAAAAGCCATTTCCACTATTGGTTCATTATCTATACTTTTAGCACATTGTTGTAATCCTTATACATTTTCAATTTAAAACTCTATAGTTACAAATGATATTATATCACATCACTGAGTGGATAAAAACATTGAATCAGTATTTCATCTCCTTCCATTCTTTGTATTTTTGGTGTATGTTTTACTCACATCTTTTAAATGTCACAATACATTGTCTTGTTTCTTGCAATAATCATCTTTTAAAGTAATGAAATGAGGAACATTTTATATTGTTTTACTAATGTACTCTTTTTCATTACTTCATGGAAACCTGAGTTTCCTTCTTCACCCTGATGTTTCAGGATAATTTTTACTGCACATACAAATCTAGGTTGGAAATTTTTATTTCAGCACTCCAAAATACAAATCCATTGCCTTCAATCAATATTTCATGATTTATATTGAGAAATCAGCTATTATATTTTAACTTAAGTAATATATTATTTTTCTCTGACTGCTATGAGATTTTCTGTCGGTCTAATTGTAGGATTAAAGCTATGACTAGCATTTAAAGGAGAGTATCCCAATGTGTTAATAATATAAGAAATGAGGATTGTCACAAGGTAGCTCTATCGTCTCTGTAAGGAGGACATTCTGAGAGCATCTACAACGCAGCATTGTTGGTGGGAGTATAGAGAAGTGGGGGAGGTGATTTTATGCAAAGTCAATCGAATGTGCAATGGGGCTGTGGTGGTACAAGCATGTTTACTTGCAGACCAAAGGGCAGATTCGCTAGAGCTGAAACTACCAGGAAGAGACTTGAATACAAACAGAGGAAAATAGAGGGGCCAGGCCATGCACAACAGAGCAAATCATGCAGAACTTTGAGATCTGACCTGAACGGAAATAGGAAGCTGTTAAAGGATTTTAAGCATGAAAGGATTTTTATCTTGAAAAGGTCACATGGGAGATAGCAGATTGACTAAAGAGAAATTCTGACTCAATAAGATGATTGGGAACAGAAGTGGGTCAATATCTTGGCTTTTTATATGTGGAAACCATCAAGCACAGATGGGTTTAGTGTCTTTACCATGATTATATGGTGATTTTGGTCTCTGACTTGATAAATGTCGAAATAGTTACTAAAGACTAATCCATACTAACTGTGTATCTTACATGTGCAAGTATATATAAAGCCCAGTTTTACCATTTTATAGATAAGTATTATCCAAATAACCCAACAAAAACAAAATAGTTTATTGTAATCCTTGAATAGGTGAAAGAAAGAAAGAAGGAAGAGTGATGGGGAATTTTTCAGGAGAAAGTGGAAGGGTAATAGATCTCAGAGAATGCACATCCACAAAGGAATAAACAAAGATATATTTTAGTTAATGTTGCATTGGCCTCTGTTTAACATCAACAAGATGTTGGTAGTGCAGTAAAAAATAAATTTACTTGTTTTCTTTTTTTAAGATTTATTTATTTATTTGAAAGTCAGAGTCACACACAGAGAGAAGGAGAGGCAGAGAAAGAGAGAGAGGTCTTCCATCCACTGGATCATTCCCCAACTGTCCGCAACAGCCTGAGCTGGGCTAATCCAAAGCCAGGAGCCAGGAGCTTTTTCTGGGTCTCTCACAAGGGTGCAGAGGCCCAAGGACTTGAACCACCTTCTACTGCTTTCCCAGGTCATAGCAGAGAGCTGTATGGGAACTGGAGCAGCCTGGACTCAAACTGGCACCCATATGGGATGCCAACACTGCAGGCAGCAGTTTACCCGCTATGCCACAATGTTGGCATCTACTTTTTTTCTTATAACAAAAAGTCCAAAGGCTCTGATTATTAGAGATTAGCTAACATCGGATTTAACCTTCTGTCATTAACAACTACAGTAGTTTATAAAACAGAGTAAGCAACACTTTGCAGGCACTGGGTAGCAACCAGTGCAAAACTATGATTTTGGTAGGGAAGGACAAGATGCAGGCTACATGTCCATTTCAGATGTGTGCCTCTGAGCTTTTCTAAGACAACATCACAATGCAACACAGCAAAATTTGGAGAATGGTGAGCTTTCTGGTCGGAGAAAACAGATTAAAGTTGGAGATTATTAGGAAGTTGGCACTGGAAGGGCAAGTGCCAAAGAATAGGAGGTCAAACAGAGGGATCTCTGTCTGCAAATATCCTCCTCAAGTTCCTGGTTCACTAAGAAGTGATGTCAGCTCAGGCATGTGGAGGCCGACAGAGATTTGTTCCCAGGACCATAAGAGCTAAGGGAGACATTCCAGCCATCACAGAGGGTGAGGAAATGTTCCAACCGTGTCTGAGAAAATGGAGAGATCTTAATTTAGGTCATAGAAGATCACACTCTGGGAAGAAATACTGTGCTGTAACACTAGAAGTATTCCATGAATGGAGCTGGCATCTGCACAGAAGTTAAGACACCACTGGGGATGACCACATGCATATCAGACTGCTTGGGATGAGCCCCGGTGCTGAGCGGCGCCTGGTAAAGCTGGTGGTGAATTTCCTCTTCTGCTTCCGCACGGACGAGGCCGAGCCCGTCGGAGCCCTGCTGCTGGAGCGCTGCGGGGTCGCCCAGGAGGAGGCGCGGGGCTCCTCCATCGGCTTCCTGGAGGGCCCGGAGAGGAAGTACCTGTTGGGGGGCGGCAGCGAGGAGCAGTGACGGCAGTGGACGGAGGCGCTGCGCAGGGCCAGCTACGAGTTGATGCGGAGGCGCCGCATCTTCTACCGGAATGAGATCCAGAAGATGAGGGGCAAGGACCCCCTGGAGCCGTTCGGGATCTCCGCGGAGGCCCGCCTCCAGCTCAGCAGCGCGCCCGGCGACGGGTGGCCGGCGGGCACCGGGCCCGGGCTCGACTCGCGGGGCTGACCCCAGCCTGGCCGAGCCTGGGTGCGCGTGGGAGGGGTTCCTGGCGTACAGGCGTCAGGGCCTGAGGCAGGGGCTGCCCTCTGGGGGTTCCCGCCCTGGGAGGCCCCCACCCTGCGAGGCCCCCTCCCAGCGGCACCGGCCATCCTGGACAGGCTGAATGTAGGAGCGGAGCTAGACCATGCTGTGAATGGGCCGGGGCGAGCCCAGATGCTCTGGTCCCAGGGTCCCCGTGCTCAATAAAGGGACCACCTTTTCAAAAAAAAAAAAAAAAATCACTCCTGATCCAGCTTCTTGCTAATGCTCACCCTGGTAGGCGGCAGGTGATGCCTCAAGTACTTGTGTCCCTGTCACCCACATGGGAGACCTGGATTGAGCTCTAGGCTTCTGACGGAAGCCTGGCTCAGCCCCGGCTGTTGTGGGCATTTGGGAAGTGATTCTCTCTCTCTCTCTCTCTCTCTCTCTCTCTCTCTCTCTCTCTCTCTCTCTCTTTCAAATATATATGTATTTGAAAATATATATATTATATATATAATACACACAGAAAGAGAAGAATCTTGGACTTGATGTTGAGAAACAAGGGTTGTATTTCTCATTTAAAGAAAATAACACCTCATGAAGAAAGGGGAAGTTTTATATTTATTTGAGAGACTAGAGAGAAAGTACTACCATCTACTAGTTCACTCCCAAATAGCCACAATGGCCAGGGCATGACTGGGACCAGAGCCAGGAGCTGGGGACATAATCCAGATCTCCTTACAAGACAACTACTTGAGTTTTCATTGCTGCCTCCCTGGGTCTTCATTAGTAGGATACAGGAGCTGGAGCCAGGATTCAGTCCCGGCACTCTGGTGTGGGACATGGACATCTTAACTACTATGCTAAATGCTAACTCATTGGAAAATATAATCAATTCACTGCAATGATGCTTTTTTTAAAAAAAAAAAAAAACCTTGAAATGATCAGTATTTCATTGGTAATTTAACTACTGCTGTTTGAAAAATGAATTGCTCAGAAAAAAATATAATCCACATCACTCATAACATATCACTTGCAATGTTGGTAGCGTTAAAAGACCAACAGATATCCAAAGGAGCAAGAAAATATTATTGATAATTAACAAACACTCAATGGAAGTAGACCAATGGACTCAATAGTAGTACTCAATGGAAGTAGAGATTGTTAGCTGAGAAGGAATTCTAACTGTGATCAATATGGAGAAGAAAATAGAAGAGATGTACAACATTATGATAAATATCTAGAATTTCAAAATATGAGGTTCTTAGGACAGAACAATAAAAGCAGAAAATGGGCTAATGGACGTAAAGTCAACTCAATGGGAAACAACCAAATTGAAACATAGATCAAATTAACAGAAGAAAAGCAACAGAATAAAGTACATGCTGTATATAGGATGTGATATTTATTTATAACACTGTATTTTTAGAATTAAAGAATGGGAGAAAATCATATGAAGTGATGGTGGGCAGGAATTTCTCAAATATCATTAAATTTATCAACCAATGTATTCAAGAAGCTCAATGAAGCTGAATTAGGGTTGAATTGGAGAATGCGATACACAGGCACATGATAGGAAAACTACTGAAAACCAAAGATAAAGTGAAAATCTTATAACTGAGACCAAAAAAGAAACCTGTTAAAGTGAAATAAACACTATGAGAAACGGTGACTTGATCAGCCCTCACCCTGACTGTTGATGAGCAACTTAATATGTTATCCCTCTTAGTATTTTTTTGTTTGTTCTACTTAATACTTTTGGTTGAATACTGTAATCAATACACAATTCTTCTTAAGTGCTGAAACTTAACTGAAAAGTGATCACTGTTAAATATAAGAGTGGGAATAAGAGAGGGAAGAGATGTGCAATTCGGGACATGCTCAAGCTGACTTACCTCAAATGGTAGAGTTAGAAACATACCAGGGGATTCCAATTCAATCCCATCGAGGTGGCATGTACCAATGCCATCTCACTAGTCCCAGTGATCAATTTCTGTTCACAATTGATCGAAATGATAGGACTAAGAACCAAAGGGATCACATAAACAAGACTAGTGTCTGCAAATACTAGCTGATAGAATCAAAAAGGGAGAGAATGATCCAACATGGGAAGTGAGATACACAGCAGACCCATAGAATGGCAGATGTCCTAAACAGCACTCTGGCCTCATAATCAGCCCTTAAGGCATGTGCATCAGGCTGAAATGCCCATGAGAGTATTTCAGACATGGAAAGCCAACGCACTCTGAGGAAAAAAAAAAAAAACCTAATGAAAGATCTCCACGAGTGAGATCCCAGTGGAAAGAATGGGTCATCAAAGAAGGAGGTACCTTTCTCTGAAGGGAGGAGAGAACTTCCACTTTGACCATGGCCTTGTCTAAATATGATCAGAGTCAGTGAACTCAGGGGGCTTCCATAGCCTTGGCAGCTCATGACAAGAGCCTAGGGTGATTACTGAGGCCATAAACAAGAGTGTCAATTTGTTAAGGCAACAACAGGAGTCACTGTGCACTTACTCCTCATGTAGGATCTTTGTCCTTAGTGTGCTGTACATTGTGATTTAATGCTATAACTAGTACTCAAACAGTATTTTTCACTTTGCGTTTCTATGTGGGTGCAAACTGTTGAAATCTTTACTTAATGTATGCTAAACTGATCTTCTGTATATAAAGAGAATCGAAAATGAATCTTGATGTGAATGGAAGGGGAGAGGGAGTGGGAAAGGGGAGGGTTGCGGGTTGTTGGGATGTTATGGGGGGGAAGCCATTGTAATCAATATTCTGTACTTTGGAAATTTATATTCATTAAATAAAAGTTAAAAAAGAAACTGTCCTATGAAAGCTTCTGCATTATTTTTACTTTAATTGTCTGTGCTTCTGGGGTCTTTTCCAAGAAGTCTTTGCCTATGCCAATGTCTTGTATAGTTTACCCAATATTCTCCTCTAGTAATTTGATGGTATCAAGTTGTAGATTTAATCTTTGATCCAGTTTGAGTTGATTTTGGTATCAGGTGTAAGATGGAGGTTTTGTTTCATACTTCCGCATGCGGAAAGCCAAGTTTCCCAGCACCATTTGTTGAAGAGACTGTCCTTTCTCCAGGGATTGATTTAGCTCTTTTGTCAAACACTAGTTGGTTGTAGAATCAAGGATTGATTTCCGGAGTTTCTATTCTGCTCCATTGGTCTACATGTCTATTTTTGTGCAGTGCCAGGCTGTTTTGATTATAACTGCCTGCCCTGTAGTTGTCTTGAAACTGGAATTGTAATGCCTCCAGCTTTGTTTTTATTGTTTAAGATTGCTTTAGCTATTTGGGATTGCTTGTGTTTCCATATGAATTTTAGCATTTTTCCCTAGATCTGAAAAGAATGCCATTGGTATTTTGATTGGTATCACATTGAATTTGTAAATTGGTTTGGATTGTATAGATATTTTAAAGATATTAATTCTTCCAATGCAGAAACATGGAGATTCTTCCCTTTTTTGTGTCTTCTTTTATTTCTATCTTTACTATTTTGTAATTTTCATGTAGAGACCTTTCACTTCCTTGATCAAATTTATTCCAAGGGATTGTATTTAAGGCAAAAATAATATGAGTAACAGCTCAATTCTCAATAGATAATATGAAATTCATGTGACAGTTCAGGATAAACTGAAAATACTAAAATAAAACCCAGCCTAACATTTGACAATACTTAGCAAATTTTATACCCAATAAAAATTCTGTTTCAATAGGTGAGAATTCAGCTCACCATTGAAACCACAGAGATCTGTCATTTCTCATGTCCCAGCATGAGCTGGTGTTTCAGGACCAGTGAGTTCTTGTGGCCACCACAATGCTAAGGCAATCTCTCGCTATGTGTCATGGAGCAAAGGTGGAGCTTTCTTTTGAAATACTGTCCAGGCCAGATGAGAGGAGCATTTTGGCTAGAACCTGCTGGCATCAGGCAGTGTGCCCCTAGCCCCTGGGGGAATCTCTTAATTGAAATGATACTGTAGGCCAGCACCGCAGCTCACTAGGCTAATCCTCCACCTGTGGCACCGGCACCCTGGGTTCTAGTCCCGGTCGGGGTGCCAGATTCTGTCCCGGTTGCTCCTCTTCCAGTCCAGCTCTCTGCTGTGTCCCAGGAGTGCAGGATGACCCAAGTCCTTGGGCCCTGCACCCTATGGGAGACCAGGAGAAGCACCTGGCTCCTGGCTTCGGATCAGCGTGGTGCACCAGCTGCATCGGCCATTGGGGGGGTGAACCAACGGAAAAGGAAGACCTTTCTCTCTGTCTCTCTCTCTCACTGTCCACTCTGCCTGTAAAAAAAAAGAAAAAAGAAAAAAGAAATGATACTGTAGTCAGTGGTGAATTTGCAGCTGATGCAGGCATGCAAGCTGGTTGTTTCTTGGAGAAAGACTTGTTCTGCCCACCATGACTGGTGTTAATATGGAAACTACCGGCCGGCACCATGGCTCAATAGGCTAATCCTTCACCTTGCGGCACCGGCACACCGGGTTCTAGTCCCAGTCGGGGCACCGGATTCTGTCCCGGTTGCCCCTCTTCCAGGCCAGCTCTCTGCTGTGGCCAGGGAGTGCAGTGGAGGATGGCCCAAGTGCTTGGGCCCTGCACCCCATGGGAGACCAGGAGAAGCACCTGGCTCCTGCCTTCGGATCAGCGCGGCGCACCGGCCGCAGTGCACTGGCTGCGCAGCCATTGGAGGGTGAACCAACGGCAAAAGGAAGACCTTTCTCTCTGTCTCTCTCTCTCACTGTCCACTCTGCCTGTCAAAAAAATAAAAAATAAAAATATGGAAACTACCTGGACTGGAGACTTCCCAGTTTCTGTAAATTGACGAGAGCTGGCAGAGTTGGCAATGCCTAAATGTCTGCAAGGGCATTAAGTAAGTTGAAGTTGTAGTTAAAAATCCCTTGAAAAACTAACTTCCCCAGGCCAAGATGATATCACTGGCAAATGTTACCAGATGCCCAAGAAAGAAATAAACACAGTACTGTACAGTCTTCCAGAAGGTAGGCAAGGAAACACTTTACTTCTCATCTCCTCCCCAACCCTGATGCCAACGTTGCCCTGATTTCCAAATCAGGTAGATACTCAGACTTAAAAAGAATGCAGTCCGGGGGCTGGTGCTGTGGTGCAGTAGGTTAATCCTCTGCCTGTGGTGCCCCCATCCCACATGGGCACTGGTTCAAGTCCCTGCTGCTGCTCTTCCAATCCAGCT